AAGATATAATAATAGCTACTAATAATAATTAGTAATTTCCTAGAGTTAAGCTTAATATAAAGTAGATATAAAGTATATATATATAAATAATAAGTTTTAACTTAGTTTAAAGGCAATAGTAATAGCAGTAAAAGCTATAAAAATAGTTCTAGCAAGAAGTTAGCTAGAATTTAAGTAGAGACTAGCTTAAGCTTAGCTAGATAGTAAGTAAAGCTAGTATATTAATAAGATTTAGTATATATTAAAGTTAAGAGGTTAAAAGAGAAAGAAAAAAGAGAAGAAAGTTAAGAGAAGTCTAGCTAGCTTTATATTTAATAAAAGCTTAGATTTAGTATAGCAGCTATACTAGCTATAACTAGCTATAAAGCTAAGAGGTAATTTATATATAAAATAAAAGTAAGGTAAATTTAAATATATAAGCTATTATAGCTAAATACTAAATATTTACACTAGTAGTTATATAATAGTATAAAGCTAGCTTAGCCTACTTCTAAGAAAGCAATAAGTAATATACTATACTAAGATAGACTATATTCCTAGAGAGAAGAGGCAATTAGAAGTTAGAAGATAAAGTAGGTATATAAGCAGAAGCAAGATAGCCTTAGCGTAGAGCTAGAGGCAGGCTAGATTTATAAGAACTATATATCCCTCTAGAATACAGCTAGTAAAGCTAGTAATACTTATATATATACAGAAGATAAGTAGATTCTAGCTAGTATAGAGCTAGAGCTAGCTTAGAAAGCAAAAACAAAAGTAGGCAGAGTTTTTCTTTCTATTAAAGAGTTTTCTAGGTCTAATATAAGAAGAAGAAGTACTAGTTATATAGCTCTATAGCTATCTAGAGTATTTAATAATAATATAGCTCTATAAGAGACCTCTATAAAGCTGTTTGCCTTCTTGCTAAAATTTTAATATCTCTTTATAAAGCAGTAAGCTTATTATTACTTAACCTTAAGATAAGTCTCTGTTATATAGTAGAGAATTATAAATTGCTGTAATTTATATATATTAATTATCTAGATCTAGGTAGACTAAAAATTATTAATTATATTTATATAGACTAGTATTTAAAATAGTAAGAAAGCTTTTATTAAGTTATTATTAAAAGCTTTAGCTTTTAACTTATTATATTTAGTATTAGTAGCTTTAATTTATTTCTTATAGAAGTTGTTTTTAATGTTTAATAAAATATACTAAATATAAATCTACTGCTATATCTTAAGCTAAATAACTTTAAGAGTATTCTTTAGTGCTTTTTTAAAGTCTATTATAATAACCTTAGAAGTAGAGATTTAAAGCTTAATATAAATTTCTTTTAATACAGCTAGTATTTAGTAATAGCTCTCTTCTCTTTTAGTTTCTATAAAGCTAAATGCAATATTTATAATTAATTTTTAATTAGTAACTATAATAATATTTAATAAATAAAGACCTTAGTAGTTAGTTTTATATATATAGTTTATACTAATAAACTCTAAAAAAACTCTCTATTTTTTAATACAATAAAAGTAAGTCTATATAGCGCTTTTAATATAATTTTTATTATTAAGGAGATATCTATAATAAAGGCCTCTTTCTTAAAGAACCTTAACAAACTATTAGAAAGATATATAGCTACTTAATATAACTTAATAGGCTTATTAGCCGGCTTTATATCTAACGGGAGCTCGGATTTAGCGTAGCAGCTGCGCCGGCTGTAACTAGCTGCAAGGCCGAGAGGTAATTTACACATAAGACGAAAGTAAGGTAAATTTAAATACATAAGCTGTTACAGCTAAACACTAGATATTTACTCTAGCAGTTATATAATAGTATAGAGCTAGCCCGGCCTACCCCTAAGAAAGCAACAGGCAACATACTGCACTAAGACGGACTGCGTCCCTAGGGAGAAGAGGCAATTAGAAGTTAGAAGATAGAGCAGGTGTATAAGCAGAAGCAAGATAGCCTTAGCATAGAGCTAGAGGCAGGCTAGATTTATAAGAACTATATATCTCTCTAGAATACAGCTAGTAAAGCTAGCAATACTTACGCACGCGTAGAAGACAGGCAGATTCCAGCCGGCATAGAGCTAGAGCTAGCCTAGAAAGCAAAAACAAAAGTAGGCAGAGTTTTTCTTTCTATTAGAGGGTTTTCTAAGTTTAATATAAAAAGAAGAAGTACTAGTTATATAGCTCTATAGCTATCTAGAGTATTTAATATAAATATAATAAGCTTATTAATACTAATTATAAATATCTTTTAGTTAGAAATAAAGATCTTGTAATAGACCAGCCCTATTAGGCTATAGCGAGTGCCAGCTGCAGTTATCCCAGCGATGCTAGAGCCCTCTTAGCTGTTAAGCCAAAAGAGTACGTATTAAACAAGCTGCCCTAGCTTGCTTAATCTAGCACTATATAGGTCCTGCACAGGCTTGTCCCTCTATCGCGCATTGCAGTGCAGTGCATTTATTGCTGCGCATCTATTAAGGTCGAGCATAGCTCAGACTATAACATAGCCCCCTTCTGTGCCTCCTATACCTCGCACCCCCTAAGGGTGGCGGTGGCCCTTGTGAGCCCAAGTTGAGTATCCCTCGCACTCTCTCTTTTTGTGCGGCTTAAACCTGCAACCCTAGAAAGCTTGTTTAAATGTAATAGACCAGCCCTATTAGGCTATAGCAGGTGCCAGCTGCAGTCATCCCAGCAATGCTGAAGCCCTCTTGGCCGTTGAGCTAAAAGAGTACGTATTAAACAAGCTGCCCTAGCTTGCTTAATCTGGCACTATATAGGTCCTGCACGGGCTTGTCCCTCTATCGCGCATTGCAGTGCAGTGCATCTATTGCTGCGCATCTATTAAGGTTGAGCATAGCTCAGACTATAACAGATGTTCTTTATCTTTATTGCAAATTATTATACTAATACCTTAAGGTTAAAGGCTTGTATAATTAGAAAGGCTTAAAATTTACTGCTTTTATTATTCTATAAATCTTTAATAAATTATATATATATAAAGGTATTACTAGATTTATTATAATTATAAAATCTCTGGTCCTTATAATGCTATACTTAATAACTAGAATAATTAGTAGAGGTTACTTTAAGCTAGTAACTACAGCTAGTTTTTTAGGAGCTTATATTTTAAATTTTAGCGCCTTAAGGCTCTCTTTAATAGCTACTATAATTATAATTAAGCTAGCCTACTTATGATTATTAAATGCTATTTATTAGAGTCTTTAGCTTTATAGAGCTCTTACTAAAGGTATATTTATTTTGCTAGCTAAATTTTTATATAGCATTATAGAGGTTATTAAAGCTGCTATAGCTTAGCAAGAGCAGCAAATTTAAGGGCAGATTTAAGGGGTTGTAAGAGCCTTTATTAGGCATTATAATATTATTAAAGGAAAAAGCTGCTGCCTATTAAAAAATTTATAGAGCTATAGTATTATTTAATAACAATTTTTGCAGTTAAGTAAAGCTGCTATACCTTTGTACTAAGAATGTACTGTGGCGCATAGCAGCAGGGCTTGCCGCATAAAAAGTGGGTCCTAGTGGGGCATTGGGGTGCTCGATGAGCGCACTGAGCAATTGACGTTAACGTCTTGGGAATGCTGCCCATTCTTGGTGAGAGAGCGCCTTGTTGCCACACCAGACTCTGCACTGTTGATGATGATGATGTCAACTTCTTCCCTCTACGCCTTGGGGCCACGCCAACTGGACGTGACAAGGTCGACCAAGAGCTTTTCGATTCAATATGTTCCCCTTGACGCTGGCGCGGGCATCTTTCCCAGTCCAGTCCGAGTCGTTGACGGGACGCATCGCGGCGTCCCTCAATGACGGTAGCGTTGCGGTGTGGCGTGGCTTGTTTGCCCGTGCCGTGGAGACGAGGAGACATGGTGGTGAGTAAGGAGGAAGCAGTCTTTGCGTCACCAACGACTGCAGAATAAATCAAAACAATCCATTGAGCGTTGAGTTGCTGTCTGCGTTTTAAAATTACGCACCAGACTCGAAATGCGTCCTAACCAGAGACCGCCGAGTCGCTGGAATGTCCGGCATGCCACCCCGACACTCTCACCACGTGCAATTCACCGGCCCGACACAAACATGGCTGTTTCTCTTCCGTCAAGGCTGTTTTTGTGTACGTATTCAAGGCCAACATGAATTTCGCCGTGTGGCGCCGCCTTGTCTCTGAATTCTGACAAGAACAGCATGTGGCCGGTGCCGACGGGTTTGAGTGCGTAAACATCGTCTTCATCGGCCAGACAGACGCAGCGGCGTGGCGACAACAAAGCGATAAGATTATGCAACCGCCTGCAAGTCAGCCTTCAACAAGTGCACGGGAGCTCTCTCATGCAGCCCTTGGTCCCCCGGCCTAGAATCAAGTCTTGAAATCCGACTGACTGACTGTATTTCCGTACGAAACAGCGAGCCAACCTGGGGGTGTGGCCAGCATGATTCAGTCAGATCAAAGCCAGGAGGAAGAAAAATCCCAAAGTTTACCCAAAAACTTGGCCGAGACTCACTGCGCCGTTGCGAACTTGAGGGCCGTCATGTTCAACCATTGCCTGGAGCCGCGGCTCTCTCCCGCCGGCCCGGAAGCGTCCTTGTCGTCGGACTCGTCCTCTGGCCCCTTCTTACCTGCGCTCCAAGTCCTTGCCGTTGCTCGCAAAGCAATGCGGGATGCTCTCCTGAGCGAAGCGTTGGCTGAGCAACTTGACCGCGCAGCTGTCGGTCTGCATCCCGGCGTCACCGTGGACCTGAGCCGCAGTGCCATCCGCGAGCTGCCGGAAGAGTGTGTGGACGTCCTCAAAGACAAGCTAGAAAGGTTCGTTGGCGCAAAGATCAAACACCATGAGCGTGGGAAGCATGACTGCTGACAACAACGACGACGACGACGCTGCTGCACGGACAGGTTGGCCTTGTCACACAACCAGCTTACATCTCTGCCGGTGCGCTTCTCGGAATGTACCTCACTCCGGTATCTGAGTATGAGAGCAAACCAGATCAGGGAGTTCCCCTTGTCCGTAAGCCACACCCAAACCAACCCGCTGAGCATCACGCCGCCGCTGCTCCTGCACCCGGTCGCTAACTTCGCAGCAGCTCTGCCACTTGACGCGCCTTGAGATTCTTGACCTTGGCCAGAACCAGCTGCGCGTGCTGCCTCGCGAAGTTGCCAAGTTGTCGTCACTGCAGGTCCTATCCGTCTCCAGGAACCAGATCCGGGAGTTGCCATTGTCCCTGGCCGACATGGCTTCCTTGCGGGTGCTCAAAATCAAGGGCAACCCACTAGTCTTTCCATCAAAGGAGCTCGTATATGCCCGTGCTGCCACCTCGCCCGAGCCAGGTTGCCGCCCCCCCGCCAGTTACGCAACAGAAGTTGCTGTGACGGCGCGCATAAAGACAATTCTACAACATGAGGCCATGAGCAACCGCGCGGAGCCAGACGTCACCAACCACCTCATCACCGCTGGTGACGAGACTCGCCACCCAAGCCGGAAACGAGTGACAAGTGGTCGGTTTCCAGTAAAAGTTTCGGGGTCGGGAACTTCCGGCGTCCGGTGCCATGGCATGGGATCGAGCTTCCCCCCGCTGCCCTTCAAGTTGCAATGCCGCGCCCAGTCACAGCCCTGTAAAGGCGTCGGGAGGACGAGGACAAACGTCATGGTTGAACAAGGCGTCGGGAGAAAAACGAGTGGTTGGAACCCATGCGCAGACCTCGCACCAAGAGCCGCGTACGACGTGAGTCGACCAGACGAAGCGCGAGCATGTCAACATCACGGCGGGCCTACGACGCGCAGAGCCGGAACCGAGCTCAGGAGCCGCAGTACTACGTCGGCCGACCCGGCTCTCCAGCGACGCGCCTACGTCCAACGCCTGTCTGTGACGCCCAAGCGACGCCGGGTGCTCAGTCCCGTCATCGCAGTCGTCAAGGGGATGCTGTACGCCATTCTCCAAGCTCAACCCGTGATGCAGCAGGTGGTGTCCTTGATTTGCGATGAATTGGAGAGACGGCCCAGTCTCCAGATTGCCATCCACGGTACCAGCTGCCACATCGAGGTGCTGGACCTGGAGATACAGGAGCACGGCGCGGCGGCAGCCGCAGCCTTGGAAAGCGAGCGTTGTTCGCCCCAGGCCTCCATCGTCTGCAGAGCTTGCCAGGGGCTCACGGGAGCGTACCATTCCAAGTGCACCTTGCCCGTGGATGGCGCGGACGCGCCGGCCGACAAGGGGAGCGCACGGCACATTCGAACGCTGTTGATGCTGATCTACAACTGCGTCATGGAGCTCCTCTCGGCCCTTCAATCCATGGCGACGGAGTGGCCGGCAGACCCTGGCTGCGAAAACAGCACCGCCTGCCTGCATCTACGGGATGGCTCGCGTGCCGACGACGCGGACGCGGACGCGGACGAGCCTGCTGCGTCGCGACACCCATGCGAAGCGACGATGCGCAAGTGTCACCGCGACTTGACAGCGAGTGCACCGTCCGACCGTGAGCCGCCCCGTCTTGGACCTGGAGCACTGCCGGGACGGTTCAACATCGACGTGTCAGAGTGCGACTCGGACGGGCTGCTTGAGAAAACCGTCGTGTGCCTGCAGGCCTCGGCCAGTCTCACGTTGCGCATACTGCCGACCTTGAGCGGCCAGTTGTCGCATGGTCCTCGAGACGCAGACGCCGGGTGCAGACGCGCACCGACATGTCGTCACGTTCGGCAGCATTGGAAGTGTCTCGGCAGGGAGTGCGCCAACGCCGTCCAACGCACACAGGCCATGAAGCGGGAAATCTGTCGGGTCGAGCGGGAGGGGGGCCGGGCCCAGCCCGGAGCGGACGTTTGGGACTTGATGATCAGTTCCATGGCGGCCTGGACGGCGCTGGCAGCGGAGATGGTGGCATGCGTTCACAAGATGCTCTTCCTGCCGCCGGGTACGAGGGCGCGCCCGAAGCCAGTCCAGGAAGAAAGCAGGAAGAAGACGAGCCTTGCCGTGGTCGGGTCACCGCGGCGCGACGTGGTTGCGAATGCGACAGGCGGTTCAGACTCATCGACTGCCTTGCCGGCCCTCTCGTCGAGGCCTCGGACCGCGTCTGCAGGGCCGCGGGCACGGCTCGCAGAGACTGACGCCGGGGAAGCGTCTTTTTTGGCCGTGGCCTTTGCCCGGAAGGGGGTTGACCGCGTGGAGATGCTGCCTGCCTGCGAGGCGATGCCGTGTTAGACTCGCCTGCGGCGGATGTAGCTGTGCGGTTGCGTTGCTCCGTCACCTCGGGGGGTTTCTGAGAATTCTGGCTGTCGGCGGCGTTGCTGGGCATGTCTCGTCGAAGCAACGCCGAGAATACATGCTTTGTGACGGTACGATGATGAAGGTGATGACGGCGATGATGTTGATGACAGCAACGTTACGCACGAGGCCAACGGGCACAGGTTGGGGGCCGGAATACAAGGCCCAGGTAATGAGGGAGTGTGATTTTTGTGTTGCCGGCGCTTGGCTTGGATTTGTTGGGCAACGTACGGGGCGTTTCGGATCAGACACGAGATGCCAGAGGACATTGTAATAAGCGGACATGAACCTGGCCGAGGTAGTATGCTGGTGGTTGATTTTTGGGATGGCCACTGAGATGATAATGATTTAATAATAATAATGGTACGAGCTGGGACTCGCAAGTGCGTCTCGGGGTCTGGTTGGAGCCCGCGGGTAGACGTAGTTTCTCCTTTTCAATCCGCTTACTTTGAGACGTGATGCTTGCCGTCTTGTGCGCTGCGATCAACGACGAAACGTTGTTGTTGACGGTTGCGGGTAGATTGCAACGTACGACATGCTTGGCTTGATTACCCACTGGTATTTATTATACGAAGGATGCTACCAGGCCATGCTGCCCCGGTGCCTCGGTACGTGCCCTGCCGGTCGACGGTGATGGTCATTGGAGGTGCGAGTCACGAGTCACGACAACTCGGCTCTCGTCAAACACTTCCACCCAGACTTGTCTCAGTCACACGCTTCACCCCAACTCTCGACCCAAACAGCAACAACCACAACGGCAGCCCAGCTCGATGCCAGCACCATAGCCGAGCTCGCTGCTCAGACGCACAAAGACCCCCAACTGCCCAGGGACGGGCCAACCGTCTCGTATTGGCAAAGGCCACCTCACCCGTCGCTCTCGCCCAAGTGCAGTCCCCGACTCTGCCCTCCACGACAGACTACGCCGTCATCTCGGCTCCGGCATAACCGGCTGCGGCGTGGCCAAGCATCTCCTCGACGCCCCCAGTCGTCAGACACGTCCTGCGTCACCGTGTTTGAAGCGCGCACCCTCGCCAACTCGACCCCCGCCGGACACACTTAGTATTGGAGATTTGGGGCCGAGCCGGTTGTGGCCAGTGCAATCAACGGGCTTTGGTGCTGGGCTTCTCGGTACCCTTGAGCCTTGTGACGTCCGTTACCGGCACGATTTTTTCAAGGAAAAAAAAAAAAAAAATAAACCAACACCCGGACCTATGAATCGATCCTAGACCTGCGACCCCCGAAGGGCTGAGGGTTTGTGCTGAACAAGCTACCCCAAAGGAGGCCCGTCTTCCAATTCGTCTCCTCTGCCTAATATTTGTATTACGGTTCGACCCTGCGTGTCCCGCGGCACATGCACACATCTTGGAACGCCGTCCAGGCCGATAGAGCTTGTATTACATTTACCCTCGTTGGACGGCAGCCAAGTCGGTAATGTGTCTATGGAAACCTGAAGACTATGGATGCCAAGCCTCGAGGTCGACGGTCCGCCATCCCGTGCGACATGTATCGGCCATGAAATGTGTCCTCGGCTCACTTTGCACTCGCAACTTCCGTCAACCAGTAGTTTGCATCAAGATCAAAATTAAGGAATGTTCTGGCTTCCCCCCTCCCCTTCTTTTCCCCCTCTTTTTCTCCTCGGTCACGTCATTGCACGAGAGGTGACGAAGACGAGCTCGAGCACATTCTCATGAATGGGGGCTTGTGATCCATCATTGAAGCTTGAGGCAGTCAAGGCCAATGTTGATGAGTCCACCCTGGGTTTCACAAATCAGCAATGCCATCCAGACGAAAAAAAAAGACGAGCGTTTCGAATGTCTTACCTGGGGCGCGGACTTGCAGCAGTAGCTGCCGCCGTTGCAGTTTCCTCCCACGATATCAATGTTGCAGAGAACACCGGCAATGATGCCGGAGCAGCAGACCTTGTTCGACCGGTCGTTGTTGTTGCAAACGCCGCCATGGCCCTGGCCCTGGCCGTGGCCGCCTGGCTCGCCGTAGTGGCCGGTGGGAACCGCAACTGCGGTGGCAGCAAGAGCAAGAATGGCAGCGGTGAACTTCATTATGAAGGCGAACGAGAAGAAAGTGCTCAAGTGCTAAGAGTTGAGCAGAAAACGTCTGACTGAAGAAGTGAGAGTCCTAGAAGATGCGAGGCCCGAGTGCTTGATCCCGGGGGGGAAAAGATTCCGAGAGCAGAGCAGCGAGAACATCTCGGGCTTTTTATATTGCAGAAATGGGCGGGAGGTTATCGAGCTCCCGAAACGGATCTGGTCGCTTTTCGTCCCTCATGATTTCATCGCATCGACTAACTCCCGGCTTGGTGCCGCTGACGCAGAGACATATGTGACGCTGGCCTCGCAAGCCTTGGTCACAGTGCCAAAGTCTTGTCGTTGCGGGGTCCTGCGCGAGGGGCGAGCGGTACTTATGAAATCCTTCATGTGATCACCATCATATGCGAAGCTCCGAGTCACCGACAGCCCACTGCACGCTTGCACTCTGCTGCCCAGCCTCGCAATTCCGCCGGAGCAGCCAAGATATACACATGTCCGGGCAACGGCCTCACCTTGCAGCCAATGCGCGGATAATTCACGGCACTCCCGGGATCATGGGTTGTGAATTCGTGCTCGCAGCACGCGTGCTTTGGTCTCGCGGAATCTGGCAATGAGGAGTGAGGCTGCCTTTTTGATGACTACCAGGTCAGGCACGACTGGCGGCGCACACGTCGCCTGGTCTGCAACCTAAAGTTGCGCGACTCCTGCCGGTAGCTGGAGGTATCGGCGGAACTAGAAGATGCATGCCGTCGGACCATGGCCAGATCGGCGTACATGGCTGAACTACCAAGGTTTGACAGTACGGCGACAGGTTTTGGTCCCCGACTTGCCCCTGAGCTATCGGCCGGCCCATGACACATTCTGTCATGTTCCGCTTGACGGACCGCGGGCCCGGCGTCACATTGCCTCCACGGCGACGAGGATGGTTTGTCATGGTTGGATCTGGACGTATATGCGACTTCCTCGTACATCGCAGGTCCGGACTGCAGTTCGCAGGAGCGACATGCAGAAGTAGACTGCAGCGTCAGTGTCTCACCCCGGCTCGTGGCAACGGACAGACTACGGAGTACACGACACCGGCTATTCGCTACCGTTGGGCGGGTTAGCCGAACTTGTAAGTTGTGATGTTTACGACTCTCCCAGTGCATCGCCGGCGGGTCGGATCTCGATGCCGGGGCGTCACGGGTGTTGCTTCCGTTCCTGGCGGTATCCTTGTGCCGTCTCGACGAAGCAAAGTCGTGGCCCCGAACAAATGCCGGGGCATCACGGGTGTTGCTTCCGTTCCTGGCGGTATCCTTGTGCCGTCTCAACAAAGCAAAGTCGTGGCCCCAAACAAAGACGCCGCCGGGGTTGTCGAGCAGGACTCGTACTTCTCGTTGGTCCCCCGTGAACAATTGCTCCATATCCATCGTCGATCAACAGCTGAACCTGTTGCCGAGACCCATCTACCGACGATGCAGCTTGGCCGCTGCCCGGTGCATTTGCTTGCATGGACGAAGATGGGGCGCGATTAGCTTTCCCGTCAGACCCCGAGCGGGGAAACGAGGAGGGAAAAACAGACGATTTCCGGCTCTGATATCTGATGTGCCGGCCCCCTTATACATGTCAACAGAGTGCAACGCCACTAGAAGGTGTTCGGGACTCGACATCTCCGGCCCTAGGCTGCGTTTACCGTCTCCTCCTGCCAATGGGGACAGCATCCACGGCGGGCCGCGTTGGAGCTGTGTCCAAGATGGGTTTAACAGGAGTGCCAGGTGTGTCGTACTACTTTAGGGCCATCTCGGTCGATGCCATGAGAAAGTAGTTTTCGGTGAGGCTCTCGATCGGATGCTGCCCGTCGCGTTTACAAGCGTCACGGAAAGCCTGCTTGTCCGTGTCCGGATAAATACATGGGCGGCACATGCCCGCCGCAAATGGGCCTTTCGCGCTGTTGCCTTTCCCCGGCCGCGAAGCCTAATGTGGTTAAGCTGGAGTTTGATTGCCTTGGTTATGCGTAGACCTGGGTTGTCAAGCCCCTTGAAGCTTCACCGCACGGCAGAAGGAAACAGACGAAGGCCGGAGATGAGGAACGAGGCCCGGCTGAAGCTAGATGAAGTCATGATGCTTCTCGCTGCTTCCGAGGCAGTGTCTCACACCACTTGTCATTGGATTTACTTTGCTGCCTGGAACCAGCATCTTTCCTTGTTTGGTGAGCAACGTAGTATTTGTCCTGGGCGGTGCTGGAGACTTTGGACAAAAGGCCTGGCGTGAAGGGTTTGGCAAGGTCGAGAACCAAGCTTCAATGATACATGGATGCATCCAAGCCCCAGTAGCGTGAGGCACGCGGAACCCGCAGGATACCAAGGCAGAGCCGAGGCGTGAGGCAGGACGCGAATGAGCAAGGCAAAAGCACCAAGCAAACAAACAGTCGGCCAACAGAGCAACACTGGCAACAAGTAGCAAAAAGACGTAGACGCCTCTGTCGAACTTGGGACGGCCAAACGACCAAAAAAGCTGACACCTGAGGGATTCGAACCCTCGCCTATTACTAGACCGCGAGTAGTGCCAACAAGACGGATCTTGCTGGGTACCTGAACACGGCGCCTTAGACCACTCGGCCAAAGTGCCTTGAGCTATTGCTGGCGAATGCGCCTCTCAACAGTAGCTATATTTCCTTCTCACGTGACGCCCTATTTTTTCCATCCAAAAGGGGAAAGCGCCAGAAATTGTGCGGATTGCTTGGATCAGGTCCCAACAAGTACCCAGGTACCTAAGCAGACGCACCCATCATCATCAAACTTTTGACTCGGAAAACCGCGTCTTCTATTTCTTCCAGACCAGCCATTCAAATCAATCTCGCCCTCCCGCCCTCCTGCCCAACACCCACAGCCAGTTATCCCCCGGTCGCACATCATGCCTATCAGGGTCGTCTTGGGAGCCCAGTGGGGTTTGTCATTTTCCTTTTTCAAGTTTGGTGCCCCGCGCGGGGTGTGACGACGATGTCTTGTCGCTAACTCAATTGCGCGCTTCCCCAGGTGATGAAGGAGTACGTCTACCTGCTCCGATCTTTCGTGTCGAGGCTCTCCGCTGACCTGTTCAATCATCAGAAGGGGAAATTAGTAGACATTCTCGCGCCCGACGCTCAACTCTGGTACGTTCTTGTTGGGGAGAAGGGCTGTTGCTAGCGCTGGGTTGTTTCTGGATATGCTTGCGAGTCAACAGAGGGCGGCCGTCGCTGGGAGTTGACCATTGTGCTCGCAACATGGCATCACCCTCCGTCCGGCGGGTTCAATTGCACACCTAGTAGACGCTGACCTGATGACAGCGCGAGAGCCGCCGTAGGCCCAACACCCTCTGCGACGCTGCATATTACAAAATACTGAAAACGAGACAACAGGGAGGACACAACGCGGGCCATTCAATATCGTGAGTTTTGCTTTGCTGCGCTATTCTGCCACAAACTATGCACCATTTCGCTGACCACTGTTGCCACAGCGCCAACGGCGTCTCGTACAGGTATGCAGACGCCGAATCGAAGACTTGGCCGTCGACTAGGCCGATAATTGACCAACAATAGCTTTCACCTGCTCCCTTCCGGTCTCATCAACCCGAAGTGGTACGTTGTTTGCACTTCTTCACCTTCAACGAGCAGATGCTGACTCAGCGGTAGCACCAACTTCATCGGCTCCGACGTGTAAGTTGCTCGAATTGCCTTTTCGGCAGGACGAGCCCGTGGTGAGCAAGCATTAGACAGTTCCTAACGGCATCCACCTGCAACAGGAGCTTCCACGTGTAAGTGTCGCAAATCCGTTGTTCTGCGCTTCCGTGCGAGTCTGTCGTATCGCCACCCATCTCAACATGCCAGCTGTTCGGCATGTCAAGACATGGCTACAATGCTGACCATTTCTAGCCCTTCGTTTTTCTCAGAATTGAAGCAGCTTGACGAGGTAATCCCTAATCTGGCAGCTACCGAGAGATCGTTGCTGACATCGGACATAGAAAGGACTCTCCGATGTCTACAGCCGGATCTTTGTGTCTGACAGGGTCGGTAACCTACGCAGCGCTTGGCCACATACACTTGCTGACCCATTACATCAGGCCCATATCAACTTTGACCTTCACGCCGCCGTCGATGGTCTCGAGGAGATCGAGCTAGGAGGTAACCAATCTACAATCGGGGCTTTTGTTCATGGCTGACTTGACCAGAGCGCAAGATCGGCACCACTGGCCGCGGGATTATAAGTCCACCTTGTTCATGCCCTTGACAACTCAAGCTAACTTTACTGTGAACGGACCCTCGTACAGTGTAAGCACATACTTGCATCCTCGTCCGTCAAAGCGATCCATTGATACTGACACTGGGCTTGACAGACCAAGGCTGCCGTGAGCATTTACAAACCCAGAGCACCAACCATCTCACTAAACTCGGGACTAGAGGAGCGGAATTCGATTAGCCGACGTGTTCGACCAAGAATTATTCGAAGCAAAACTGCGTCGACTAGCTTATGGCTACAAGGCCCGATACGGCGATCTGCTCAAGTACGATGTCGACGAGGAGATTAAGCGATTCCGCGGATACCGTACGGAGCTCGCAAAATATGCCATTGACGGTTTAAGCTTTATGCATTCTGCGTAAGTAACCTTGGCGGTGCGGTGTCGAGAAGAGCAGAGGAATGGATCAATATCCAGCATGTCCCCTTGGTCTTCCCACGAAGCTTTCCCTCGTAAACATGATAAAAGAGCTAATCTTCCCAGACAAACGAGCGACATGAACATGATTATCGAGGGTGCAAATGTTCGTGCTCTCATCTCCCAGGAGGTTGGTCATTTACTGACCTGACCGGGCTGGTAACCTACCTGTCGTCGTGCACCTGAAGCTCTTGGACTCCGGCATCGGCGAGGAGACAATGTACTGTGGACGTGGCTAAGAAGCCCGCTCCAGTTTGACCAAACTGCCACCCCCGCGACTAGTGGCGTGGCTACATGGGTGCATATTTCAATATCACGGAGCCGCCTTGCAGCCTTTGGCTGACCTTTGCGGACCTTTGCGGAGCTGGGTCGAGCAGCAGACCTAAACTCTCAGTTGCTAGCCTAGGTCATATGGCATTCGCAGGCATCGGCCTCGCAGACTTATACAACCTTTGCATATCTAGCGCCTTGCAAGCCGCAGTCTCTGCCGACTCGAGACTAGTATTGGTGAAATTTATTCACCTGGGTCTGCGGAGGCTGTGAGGCCCCCTACAGGTCTGCGATATAAGCATCCATGGCCACACCGCTAGCCATTGGGGGTGGCCATTGAGTCACCTCTTGATCAAAACGGGGTGGCCTTGGCCACGTCCCATCACGTCTACCGCCGCTCTGTCCACGGTTGAGGCTTGGGAGTACATGACCAGGTGGTTTACTCGCCCTGGAACTTACAGGCTGTAATGCTCGACATCTCGATGGGATCATACCCCTATGTCACTTCGTCCAACACCACAATTTCTGGCATCATTGCCGGCTTGACGCTCAACCCCAAGAACATTACGGAGACCATCGGGGTGGTTAAAGCCTGTAAGTAACATGAGTAGTCGCTGGGCCTTTTGGACAGCCACCATATCGAAACCAACTCCACACCCCTGACCATCCGCAGTCGTTTGTATCAAAAGCTGACGACTGCAGATACCACACGTGTTGGCGCTGGCGCTTTCAAGACGGAGGATCTCGGAGAGTACTGTCGCCTGCTCACTACTCAGCTGTGGATATGAAGCAGACTGACCATGTGCGCAACAGGGTCGGAACGAAGCTCCAGGAGATTGGCCGCGAATGGGGAACATCCACAGGCCGAAGACGTCGCTGTGGCTGGTAAGTCTCTCTCCTTGAAGAATTCGAGGTGCATCACTGACAGTGCAGTGCAGGCTCGGTTTGTCAACTCGTCGCGTTATTTCCAACATCAAAAATGGCCTTTACTTACTCGGACTTTGTAGATCTCGTTGTAGTGAAGCATGGTCACATGATCAATTATTACACCTCGTTGAACTTGACCAAGGTAAGCCTCGCAAGAAGTACTCCGAGGGGATTTGAAAAAGTTGACTCCTCACGTAGCTCGACGTACTCGATTCCTTCGAGACAATCAAGGTAGCTATTGCGTACAAGGACAAGAGCACAGGCAAGGTAGGAAGCCGTTGTTTTCCGAGGTCCTGAGGCATAGCTGAAAGTATCAGGAGCTTGACTGCTATCCGGCGGACCATAACACACTCGATAACGCCGAAGTCGTCTACCACGAAATGCCTGGGTGGAAGAAGCCGACAACCAGCGCCCGGACATACTACGACCTTCCCAAGCAGGCCCGGGATTATGTCGAGGTACATTAATTTTCAACTGCAGGATGAATCTTGTCTTATTACTGACTGTCTCTTCAGTACATTGAGAAGTTTGTTGGAGTCAAGGTTAGTTGGCCACGCCGCCTCAAATGGCTTCGCATGAACTGGCTTCGAAGAAGTATGCGCTAACTTTGACCAGATAAAATGGATCGGCACCGGTCCCGACCGCGAAGATATGATTACGCGTGGCTAGCCAGGTGATCCGGTGACGTGCCATATGCTCGTAACTGGTGACGAGACGCCTTCGGAAAGCTTTTCAGAGCATCAAGCGCTCGAGGCCCCTTGATGAAGCGGTGTGGTGGGTGTATATAGAGAACCCGATAGCGCGCAGCCTAACAGATAGACATTTCGGCTCTTGTCATGCCACATTCGCTCTAGATAGCTTGCCTGATATGATGTGCAAGCCCTACTACTGTATAGTGCCATTCTCAGAGAGGACTGCCGCACTTGCCTCGTTGCTTTCGTCGAGCCGGCTCTCCTCAACACTGACACCATAGAGCACGTAGCTCGTGTCTACTTCAGGTGACGACCTTGTCAAGGACTCTCGAGGCTGCTGGTGCCAGATGACCGGGAGTACGGACCCCGGCCAGAGCTTCGCGTCGATCTACCGCTTATTATGCGGCGCCAGCAGCACACCTGATGCATAAAGTAAACAGACAGGCCCTGCGATGACAACCCACATGATGCCCTGTCTGTCCTGGATGCTCGGAACATGCTCACGACCCGGGACTCACCCAAGCATCAGTTTCGTCTCGACTCAGGTCTCCTTACGAAAGTTGCGACACCCACAGAACAGGGCAGCTAGCACCGCGCTTTTTCTCCTTTTTCTCGCCGGCTCTTGGGTCGGGATGCATGTGGCCGTAATGCTCCGAGGTCGACGTGCATCTCGCAACGTGCTCTGCTCGGATGCCACACCTTATGGAGACGTGCGTTGGGCCACACCAAAATAGCCTTTACGCGTGACTGCCATGCCCACCAAGCGTCTGGACGAGACTCTGCCGGACGTGCTTGCAGGGACCTCTTTTCCGTCTTTTGACCATGATGCCACGACGAGGACTGTCGTTGTCACTTCACCGTTGACCGCGCCACGCTTTTAACGGGAAAACCCCCCACTAGACCATCAAATTGAAGTGACGATGCTCATGTGAGCAGCTCGACATGTCCGCGGTAGCTTCACATCTGTCGGCGACAGGGTTGCACATACAGCCGGCGTTGAGACATGGAGAGACAAGATCAGAGATCAGAGCCGGCTGGAACAAGGCAGCCAAGCCAGTACGGGAGGGCATGTCTACCAGCTACTAATTCCATGCCGTCGAGGCGGAACTACAAGCTACTCCGTGCCGCTCTCCCCTGAACCTTGACGCCAACGGCGGTACGGCGAATAGGTGGCGAAACGGCCTCAACGGGGCCCTTTCGGCCCTCCAGATGCGACTGACCTGCGATCACCGGGTCGCCGAAAGTGCAAACAGCCACCGTTGCCGCGAGCCAAGCAGAGGAAGCTGTCCCACGTGGCGCATTATAGCGTCCGGTCACGCGGTGTCGACGTCCGGGCGCCATCCAAGCCACCGACCGGCCCAGGTTGACGAGATTCGATTTACCTGAAACGGACCGCTCCCGCGGGACCGGACGGCTGCTGATCTATCTTTGGCCTCTACCGCCGCGGGCCCGCGCGGCGTTGCCTTCTTGACAGCGCCTGCTGCCCGCGTTCCGGCTATCGAGAGGCTGTGCGCACGACCTCGGTCGTCGCATTCAAACCTGGCAACGTCAATCCCCCGGCGGCACTGAGCCCTGCGCCGGGGAACTTCGGGCCAGGGACCACGCGGGAGGAGGATTCGGCGGAATACACTTTGGCGACGAACCGCCGGTCGTGAGGGCGCCACGCAGCCCGAGGACGCTGCGAACTCAGCAGTCGTACCTGAAGCGTCGTCGTGTGCTTTGACGGCGCCGTCCTTGAAGGGTTGAAGGGAGCCGAGTTTCCGGCCGAGAAGTTGCTCCGTGCAAGTGATAAAGGCAGCCTGAAGAGCTCGCGGCCCCCCCGACTCGGCCAAGCCAAGCACGTTGTTCACGGCGCAGTCACCCTCGTCAACTTGGGGTCCTTTTACTCGTCCCTTTGACGCGCACGCGAGTTCATCCATCCATCCATCCATCCATCCGTTGCTCTCCTCGACCCGAGCATCTTGGGCAAAATGAAGTTCCTCCTCCTTGGCCTGTGTCTGTCCGCGTCGGCGGCGCCGATTCCCTCGCCTGTAAGTGCCCCTCCCCACGGCCAACCTCGGACATGCGCCGTCTGCCTCCATCATCTCGTCCGGGAAGCCCTGCCCGGCAGCACGACGACTGACGACTGACCGTGACGGGCACAACTTCAGGGGTCGCTCATCGCCGTCAACGCCAACAACAATGACTTGAAATTCCCCATCAACGTCCTCGGCGTGCAGGGCACCGACGTGGACGCCCTCAACAACAACCTCAACGGCAACTCGGCGAGTCTCGTCTCAAGCGGCGGCAAGGCCAACGGCAAAGCCGGGGGCGGCTCTCGCGGATCCGGCGGCAAGGGCGGCGGCGGCAAGGACGGCGGCGGCAAGGGCGGCACCACCATCACCAACAACATCAACACCAACCGCGGCGGCGGGCTCATCGGCCTCAACACAAACGGCAACAAGCTCGACTTCCCCATCAACGTGCTCGGCGGCCAGGCCAACGGCGTGACGGCGCTGAACGGCAACCTGGACGGCAACGAGGCCAACGGCCTCAAGTCGCAGACCGGCGGCGACGGAGAGAAGCAGACCGAGGCCTCGACGGGCGCCGGGCCGTCTCCCACCACCATCACCAACAACATCAACACGCTGGGCGACGAGGGCGAGGGCGGCGGCGGCGGCACCACCACCATCAACACGAGCCTTGGTCCTGGAAGGAGTGGGAACAGGCTCAACACCGGCGCCGGCAAAGGCAAGACGGGTGCCGGCATCAACAACAACAACAATATCAACAGCAACATCAACAGCAACAGCAACAGCAACAGCAACAGCAACAGCAACAGCAACGGCAACGGCAACCGCAACGGCAACCGCAACGGCATCGGCAATACCGGCGCCGGCGTCAACAACAACAACAACATCAACAGCAACAGCAACAACAACAACAATATCAACACCAACAGCAACAGCAACAGCAAAAGTATAGGAAACGGCATTGGCAACAACATCAGCAACAACATCGTCAAAGGCCTTGGCAACAGCAACGGCAACGGCAACATCAACGTCAACGGTATCAGCAACAGCAAAGGCGGCGGCATCAGCTTCGGCAACGGCATCGGCAACGGCAACGGCAACGGCAACAGCAATACCAATACCAACACCAATACCGACGCCGGCATCAACAACAACAACAACATCAACAGCATCGGCAACGGCATCGGCACCAGCACCAGCAACAGCAACAGCAACAGCGATACAAATCCCAACACCAATACCGGTGCCAGCTTCATCGGCAACGGCAGCGGCATCGACAACATCAACACCAACACAACCACCAACATCTTCAACACCACAACCACCAAGGCCACGCCCATCAACACCCTCAACACAGCCGCCGCCATCGCCGACTCCAACACCAGTGCCGGCATCAACCCCAACTTGGGCGAAACCAGCGCCAACGCAGCCGCCGGCATCTCGACCAACAAGACAGCCACGGAAGCCACGCCCAGCTTCACCTTCAACACGGATGCCGCCAACGCCGGCTCCAACGCCGGCGCCAGCAGCAACGCCGACATCGGTGAGACGAGTCCCAACGCGGCCGCCAGCGTCTTGACCAACACGACGGCCACGGAAGCCACGCCCAGCCTCACCTCCAGCACGGATGCCGCCAACGCCGGCGACGGCGGCAACACCGGCTGCGACTGCGCGGCCGGCACCAGCGACGCCAGTCCCGTCGCAGCCACGGGCCCCGTCACAAACACCACGACGATGACCACCGAGGCGGCCAAGCCAGGCAAGCCCCTCGACGCAGCCGCCCCCGGCACGGGCTCCGACCCGGGCAGCACCCCAGACGTTTTTAACACGGACGCCAACCGCCACAGCTCGAACGTCGCGCCCGCCGGGCAGCCCGGCCCCGTCGACACCTCGAGCATGGTCGCCGCGATGAATGGTCTCACGGCGGCGCTGAACTCGCTCGCCGGCGCCATGGGCCAGGCATGTGGCAAAAGCTAAGCCTTGAAGGCGGAGAGCAGCGTGGGAGGGAGAGAAGCTGCGGGTGGTGTCCTGGACGGGACGTTTCTGCTTCTTCACATGGCCCCGGGGCCGTCCTTTTGACGCACGGCTCGACGTGCGCCTTTTAATAATGCCTGTAGACGATAGACCATAGACCATAATGTGGAATAGGTACAACGAGCTTGTGACTTCATGGCCCAGTGATGGCGTACACGGTGACACGGCCGGCTGGGCGCGAGATGGTGCCGAGACGAGTCCATTCTGCCGCGGCATCTTGACACGGCAGCAAATGGGTGTGGACGGGAACAGGGGCCGCCGCCCTTGGTGCCACGGATACCGAGTACAAATAGTAGTTATGTTACTTGCTTGTGCCGCACGTCGGGTCGGGGGGTCAGACGCCACGCCTCGAAGTAGGGAGTGAATGTCAGCGTTGCCCGGCGTCCGTGGTCAGAACGGGACGAAGAGGGCAAGCCACGTCGACGGCACGATGCCGTTGAGGAATCAGCACCGCCCGCGCATCCATCTACGCGAGAGAGGACGCGCCTATATAAGCCCCTGCCCATCCTCGAGGGAGCAGCCGCGGAGCAAAGCGGCGATCCGTAGCTCCCACTCCCAGCCTCTCGCCCTGCCGAAATGAAGTCCGCCACGCTCCTCGCCCTCGCCCTCGCCCTCGGGTTCGTGATGCTGACGCTGCCTGCCCTCCTGCACCCCTCGAGATACTTGCAAGACTGACAAGCGCGAGCAACAAACAGGCCGTCCCTTGGCTCGGCCGCCGCGACGTCGGGCTGCACGACGCCCCGTCCCTCCGAGTGCGCCATCACCACCACGCACACCTGGTACGGCGACAGGTCCATGGGCTGTCCATTCGATCCTGCTGGCGACTTCTGCGTCTCCGACGGTACGTTTGTCTTTCCCGCCTCGTCCGGCCAACGTGAGCCGCCGGGACTGACGCACCACCACGTCGCGTCGTCTAGCCATCCTCACGCTGCCGTGTGCATGTACGACGGCCACGAGTGTGGTGCGGCACACGACCACGGTCTGCGCAACGACGCAGAGTGCCGTCAACTGCCAAACGGGATTCATGTACACTACTACTGCCACCGACTGTTACTAGTCCAAGCTGGCTCGTCGACGGATGGATGCCAAGGCGGGCAAAACAAAGAAACAGGGGAAAAGATCTCAGCATCTGACCAAACTGGAACGAGTCGCAAGCCGTACTGGAGTCGTAGCCTAGTTTGCACTGACGGTGACGAGACGAGTACAGGTCAAGAAAGTGGCGCTGAATGGATGAGATGGTGTCGAGGATACACTCTCGACGGTACTGCAGTTCTTCTGGTAGGTGTGTTAGACGCAGAAAGGGGGCGTCAAGAATGCCCAAAAAAAAAAAAAAAAAAAAAAAAAAAAAAAGAGAGAGAGAGAGATATTCCACTACATCGCCACTACAAGTACGCCAGTGCAGACCATCCGAGCACGCCTTCCAAATCGTCCCGTAAGTCGGCGACGCTGTCGTAGCCCCCCCTCAGCGCAACGTCTGTCCTCTTTGCCGCCCCCAGCTCGCTCCATCTGGCCAGCACCGTTCCGTCGACCAGAGCCCTGCCCGACGACGCTGCGGTCTCGACGCCCACGCCCACAGATGGCTGGTCCGGGTACCGGTGTGCCTTGGTGTGAAGCCCGCAGTGGGGGACGACCGCAGGGTGTAGCTGGTTCGTGACAGACAGCAGCCGCCGGTACGTGGACTCGGCCACCGGCGAGAGCGCTGCAAGTTGCCCCGAGGGGCAGGCCAGGAGGAGGACGTGTGACGGCTGTGAGGCGTTGGCGCACCACGGCGAGTGCGTTCGCGGCAGCAGGAGGCTCGACGTGGGCGCGTTTGGCGTCACGGCAAACGACGTCCGGTGGAGGAGCAAATGGCCCTGCAGGGACTTGGGGTGTTCTGGGTTGAATTCCAGCATGTGCATGTCTCCCTCGGCGTCCACGGCCACGATGGACAAGTCTTCGCCGTCGGGTAGGAAGTCGGCCACCAAGAGGGGCAGCTTGCCGCTGCTTTTGCCCAGTATCTTGAATGTGTAGGGCTCCTCCGTGTATCCTGCGAACCACAGACCCTTGAACGCATCCGCCATGACGCAGAGTCCCGTCCCGGGCAGTTCTTTCAAGCTGGATACATGGCAGCTCATGTCCAGGAACGCCACGGGCAAAAGGGATCCGTCCTCCTTGAGCCCCCGCACCATGCATTTTTGACCTTGGGCAACCAGCATCAGCCCCTGCGCGCCGACTTCCGACAACGCCGTCACCCCGCCTCGCGGTATCTCCTCCTTGGCAATCAACTTGAGCCGCTTGTTTGTCTCTGGCCTCCCGGGTTCCGGAATCACAGTCACAATGTCAAACACCTGTACTCGCCCCCTGGTTGGCAGGTCTTCTCCTTTGGAAAGTGCCGTGCCGACAGCCACGAGCATTTTCCTCTCCTTGGTCTCTTCCGACACTTCCAGGCAAAGAGTCTTCATGCTCTCGATCGACTCGCAGGGCTCCAGCTCCAGCTCATGGATTACCGTCCACGTCACCGCGTTAATGAGCTTCAGGATGCCTCGCGCCATGGTTGGTGGAAAGCTGGCCGTCTCCTTCGCCCACTCTTTGTGATGATCGTCATCCCGGGGAAGCTCAAACGGCTCCATCCTCGTGCATGCCACTACATATGTGCCCGTGGGGTGGTGATGTGAGATCATGCCCACGTCACTGTGCAGTGCTATCTTCTTGACCGACAGCCCTAGTTCGGTGACGTTGGTGTTGCTCGGAAGCTGCGTCACTCGCGCGATCCCATCCATGTCGACGTAGATGAATCCTCGGTCACAGCCCTCGGTGTGGAACGTGCTCATTCCTCGAACCCCCAAGCCTTGCAGGCCTATCACCCGCGGCTCACTCTTACTACTCTTCAACACAAAGCTTGGCGACGCATTCGGAAGAAACACGGCGCCGTAGCCATTCACGTTGGCACACCGCCTCAGCGGTACGATTCGTGGTAGCTCTGCGTCATCCTCGGATACCTCTGGAGCCGTCTTGGCGAGTGATGTGTTGACAGACTTTTTGAAAAGCAACGAGCACGACAGCTCGGCGCCACCCTCTGCTTGATGTCGTACAGGTTCGTAGATTGTCAAGTCGTCACTGGCATGTCGTACCTGACACGGTTAGAGTCAGCACTACTTGGGATGTAAATTCGTCCCCAAATCACTTACAATCAGGTATGGCGTCTGTGAGATGGCGTCGCCCAAATCGGCCACGAGAATCTCGGTGACGCTTTCCTTGCTCGCGCCCTTCCTGGCTACAAAGGCTGCGGACAAGAAGGGAGGGATAGATGTTAGAGCTTCTGCTACAAATACAGGCTTGGACAAATCCGGCAGGGCGTAAACCTGGGTCTGTTAGCGGCCGCACTCCAATCCGCGTTTCGCAGAAACTCACGTGCAGGGCGCCAGCCGAACTAAGCAAAAACATCATGATTCGATCAGCTTCGTCACTTTGCTGTTCGCTGGCATTGTTCTGGAAGACTCCCTGTGTATCGTTGTACAGGCACCCAGACGTCCATTTGGTCGACTTTAGAGTTCCATCAGGTTTTAAAACCTCCTCCAATTCGTTGTTGCTGTGCATTTGGGCGAGAAATATACTGCTATCATCCCGGATCAGAAGCAGATATGGATCGACTATGCTGGCGCTCGTAACGCGTGGTTCGGCCCCGGTGTCTTCATCCAACATGGGGAGAATCTGGCTCAATCCCAAGTCTGCTTCAAGTCAGCACAACTGAGTTTTACTTGGTTAGATATAGCTTCATCAGTTCGAATCTGATATTCTCCCGCCAAGCTCAGCTGTTCAAACATACCCCCATCATAGCACCGAACTTCGGATTTGAGAACCTGGATGACACGCATCTGCTTGCCCATTGTTCCGGCTTCAACGGTAAATCCAGCCGCCGGTTCGAACTCGGTATCTTTCAGCGTCTCGAACCCAGCCGCCGTCAAAGCATACACATCCGACGTCTCATAGCCGTCAAGATCAACCTTGGCCACAATCATGTACTTGTCATATTGCCCAGTCGTGTCGTAGTCGCTTGCTACCGCAGCGCCCTTGGACAGGGGTTTTTTGACGCACATGGTCCAAAAGCCCCGTGCTTCCGGAAAATCAAATCTACCAATGACCTCGGGCTGAATCTCTCTGTTTAGTATTGCCACCGAACCGCTGGACCCTCGACCCACGGCGCATGCCAACTCCAACTCTGCAGTCACGCCTTTGGACAATGTTGCTTCTTCGCTGTCGGGCACAAATGCAGGAGCGCCGCAGGCAATATCGCGAATGGGCGCAATACTCAAAAGAGTATCGTGGACTCGAAAGGTGACTTCACCCGGTTTGGAGTTTCCATTAATGGATTGGCTGGGCTTGGCCAGGCCAGAGTTGTTCCCATACAGATCGTCATCTTCGTCGTCATCCAGGTCGAGATCATCAACGTCCAGTGCGAGTTCAGGGTCCAAGAGACGCGACTTCCTTCTCTTCTCTTGACCTTGTTTCCTCGACCAGCCCAGTACAATGGAATCGTTGCTCTCACTGCCGAGAAACAGGGTATGATTGCCCAATCTCGAAATGCATGACACTTGGCTTTTTATCAGACTCCCTCCGCATTCGGGACTGATGAGCTTTATGGTAATTCCAGACACCGTGCGGCCGTCGATACGGAAGCAAATGACGGCTAGACGCCCATCATTCAGAATCAACAACAGCTCGCCAATGTCACCTCCCAACAGTTCAATAGCACAGCCCTCTAGTCTCAAGCCCAAATCAGACTGGTCAACCAAGCTGAAGGATGTCATTTGCTTTGCCATGCCGTTTACAGCCACACCGTTGGGCTTGCCAGACTGGTCAATGTGGAGAAGCTCATTTTCGCCCACGAGCAAGGCCCCTCCCATGGGGGCAGGGAGGGCCATGACTCTGAAGAGGTCCTGCGGAAGCCCCGTGACAGACAGAATAGTTGTTGACGCCCTTTGGTGCAGGTCCAGAGTGAAGACCTTGTACGTGAGGTGGTCTTTGACGCCAAGCGCGGGTGATGGTGATTGCGTCGAGGACAAAATGCCAAAGGTGGGTTCTCTATACTCGTACAAGAAGGCAAGATGGACAGGATGCAGTAGTAATGGATCTAGAAGCGGCAGTCGTAGAACAAATGACGGCGTATATCGTGATTTGACTACGTCGTGGTCTCCCGCACCGTCCCCGTTGGTGGTGGGCGCCTCCTTGGCAGGCCGAGGGCCGTCCAGATCTTCATCCCAACCATCCATTTGATCCTCTTGATTCTGGATAAAGGGCAGAATGGCCAGATTTCTGCTTCCAAATTTGAAGGCAACACATCGGCTGCCGGGATCGGCTTCGAGATAATTGACGTAGTCTCCAAAGGGCATCTCCCACGGCGCACCTTGCAAGTCCTCTTTTTCGTAATAATGGATGGATGTGGTTTCGAGTGTATGCCTCTGAGGATCCCATTCTGTCAGGCACATCTTGGCAGCCTTGTACGCCAGAAGCAGGGCTTCGCCTCCCGATGTCGTGTCCTTGACTCTGACTCGGGCCAATCCGATGACAGTTCCTGCCAATGAAATCTCGGTAATAAGAACAAGTTTGGTGTTGTTGGACGGATCAGCTCGAACGATGAGTGACTCGCCGCCGAGAAAAGAAGACTCGAGGCCATCGTCGTCGTTGATGCGGCGGTCAAAATGGATGTCGTCTTCTTTAACCGAGGACTGGGGGCCTTGGGTCTGGGGATCAAGCTCGGCAGGAATTGATCTGAGGGCAAAAATCTGCAGGACGGATCCCTTGGCGACAACGAGGTTGTTAGCAGAGGCAGAAGTCAACGGCAAGCTCAAGGAGTGCGTGACGGCCGAAGGAGCGACGAGCTCGGTATACACCTGCATGGCGCAAGACCATTATCCCAGTATGCGGACGAATTGAAGACGAAGTCGGTAGGGGGTTGCAGAGAGCTTATAGAGCGAGCTCGACCTCGGGGAAGCGGCAATAGACGATGCGTGCGTGGAAATGTCGAATATCGCAACGCACTTCAGGTTGAGTGTGAAGGCGCGCATGGCGACGAGCTCGAGGTGCACCAGGGCTGCGAGCCCCACCCAGATTTTTTGGCGGATCAATTGGTAGCCGCGCCGGCAGCAAATTGTTGCGGGCAGCTGGTGTGCAATGTTGCCCCTGTGCCGGTATTATTTGTACTAGCACCTGGGACCTGCACCTCAAGCCTACCATGTCTCGGGGCAGCTTGCCAGCTGTCGGCCAGACTGGCACCCGGCAAATGGGCAAGCTCCAGCCAATCAAAATGGTGCCAGGTTTAAACTTGACCCCGGCTGAAATGCCCGTTCCTTGGACGGGGCATTGCCGCATTTTCGTATCCATGACGTCTCCATCATGGGACGGAGTCGAGAACTCCCCACGACGTTGCGTCACGCCCGTTTTCTTCATCGTCTACTCTACCCTCCCGCCTTGCTCGGCTCGTGTCCGGCTTCGCCCTCAAAGCTTCAGTATACCATCCACACACATCCATCCCGACTGCCATCATCTGCTATCCCCTCGCGACGCCACCCGCCGAGACCGATGCTCATTGCTGATTGCCCGTTATGGCTGACGCGGGTCTCGTCCAAGCCAGCTTGATCTGGATCGCATACGCCATAGTCGTGGTCCTCTGCTTCCTTGCAGCCACCATCACAACCTTTACATGGCAGGCACCGCGCGACCGCTCCGCCGTTGTCAGCATCGTCTCCATCATCACCCTCACGTCGTTGCTCGCCACCATTCTCCTGCTACCCGTCGACATCGCCCTCGTCTCTGCCACCGGCTCCGTCTCCCAGGGCGCCAAGAAGGACTGGGCCACTCCCGAGAGGGTCCAAAACATACTGCTTACTCTCAAAATTGTCTATTACTGCTTATACAGCGCCGACGCGTTGCTGTGCCTGGTCGTCATTCCCTTTGCCTACTTTTGGTACGAGGAGTATGACGAGATCGAGTTTGAGGAGCAAGGGAGGACATGGCGCAGCCGACTCTGGGCCGCCACCAAGTACACCCTTTTCTTCGTTGCCTTGGTCTTCATATTGTTCCTGCTGGGCTTCTTCATGCCATCCCCCGGGGACTCGTCCAAGGCACACTGGGACTTGGACTACTTCAAGGACCTGATTGCTCGGAACCATGCAGAAAAGGCGCTCACCTTCGCCCTGGGTCTGTTGATCACGTTGGGAACCCTGCTGTACGTCCTGTACACGGGGTCGGGCCTGGCGCTCATGCCCATTGCCTTTATCAAGTCCGCACCGTCCGTGTCGGCGCCTCAGCTCTCGGCAACCACAGCCTCGCAGTTGGAGCAGAACCGAGAGAGGCAGCGCCAGCTGGAAATGCGCAACTCGGGCCGCCAAGAGGGCATGTCCCGCAAGGACCGTCGCGAGCTAGATGCGCTCGTTAGGGAAGAGCAGACGCTGGTGCGTCGCGAACGTCTCGCCGCCGAGGCACAAGGCGAGGGCAGGAGCAGAGTATATCAAGCTTGGCTCCGGCTCTGCGCCCTGTTGAGGCCGCTCAAGATGCTCTGCGGCATCCTCCTCCTGGCCGTGTCCGTCCTGATCTGGGTGTCCATGCTCATCACGGGCATCGACAAGGCCAAAAACTCGGTTTGCAAGCAGCGGTGCGGCTACATCCTCGGCAGCATCCACATCTTCCAGCCCCTCAACTGGGTCTTTGTCACGCTCGCCCGTGTCTTCCCCATCGACTACGTCCTCATGGCGCTGTTGGTCCTTTTCCTCTTCAGCGGCACCATCTCCGGCATCGCCACCGTCGGCATCCGCTTCCTTTGGGTCCGCATCTTCCAAATCCGCCGTGGCAGGACGGCCCCTCAGGCGCTGCTCATCGCGACCGTCATGCTCACGCTCGCCGTCCTCGCCATCGACTACGCCATCACCATGTTCGTCGCGCCGCAGTACTCCATCTATGGCACGCAGACGTTCTGCTCCAACAAGCCCGAGTATCCGGGCGCACAGCCCTCTTGCAAAAACGAACCGGATCTTGTGCGTCCTTGCTCGGAGCAGCTCGACTTCAAGCACGCCAAGGATATTTGCACGCCGTCGGTAATGTCTACGTTCCTGAACCGCATCACCATTACGTGGCCATTCTTTGGAATCATCGACTTTTGGGCCCAATTCGTCTTTTTGGCCGTATTCTTGGTCGTTTTCGCCACAGCCCTTGTGCGCAGCCCGAGAGTAGACATCACCGAGTTAGATGAAGATGCTGAAGATGACGAAGAAGAAGGCCTGTTGGCTGCTACGGGGAGGCGCTTCAACGCTACGTGGGAGGATGTGCGCCGGAGTCCAGCATATGGATCGACTCGGAACGACAGGAGTGGCAACGCAAGGGCCTAAGAATGAAGTCGTCGCCCTTTTAGCGAAGAGGGGAAAAACATTACAATGCGCACAGGTTAGATTGCTTTTTTTTCTTTTGGTTAGGAGAGCACGGATAGGCAGGCTGGCGTTGATTGATTTCTTGATGTTGCGAGGCTCGAAATTTGAACAGGGGGTGAGAACTGTAACGTAGTGACTTGTCCTGGTGACGTTTACTGCGTGGGCAAATTGGCCGGATAGGATAGGTCCTCGGACGTCCTACCCAGTGTGTGTAATGCAAGGAGTTTCTCTTGGTTCCTGAATGCACAAAGCTCAGATTCTACATGTGTGCGCCTTGCACTCAGACGTTGAATACGTCTCTGGGGACGTCTCCAAAGTAGTCTTTTGGTTGTAGACTGCATCGCCTCCAGGAGGGAGCCCTCTGTGCTCGCCGATGGCCCAAAATCACTCCTGGTCTAGAGCCACTGGTTTCCGGCCCACGACGAGCTTCCGAAAATACGCGAGGGCGCGGATGGCGGCTGCTGACCAGATACAACCGTTGTCTTGATTTCCAACAGGGAAGACGTACCGCCGCAGCCGGCGTGGCCTTGGCCGGCGGCAACCATGGCACATATCCCCTCGCACGCAGCTTGGGGTTCCCTCCAACAACTAGACGCGGCGGACCTTTTCTGCCGCTCTTCGACGAGACCGTTACGCCTCCCCTGGGGCTCGGCTCACTGTTCAATGGACGGTTGGAGGGACAGCCAGGCTGTGGTGTGTCTGTTGGGGCATGATTTCGAGATGCGCCGGGTTGCCGGTCACGCCCCCAGCGCAACTTTCTTCTCGTGCTTCCGATCCCGCGTGAACTGCACTGCCCTGTGGCTCCTTTCGTCCCATGCCGCGGCCGGCCCGACATGCATCTCCCTCCAGCATCGGGCGCAGTACACGTCTCCGTCGCATCCTAGACACCGGAGCGTGGCGTCGTCCAGACATACCGTGCACCAGGAATCAACGTCGCCATCCGTGTAGTTTGTTCTGCTCGTCAACCTGTTGGCACGCTTGGATGGCTTGGATGTAGGCACCGAGGGAAGACCATGTTCCGCTGCAGTCGAGGCTCGGAGCGCGGCCAGGCGTGCCGTTATGTCGTCTATTCCCTGGGGCTTCTGCCAGGTATCTGTGCCGATGTCGAGGTTTGTGGGGACCGACGGCAGTTTCATGTCCGCGGTGTACTCGTTTGTCTCCCCTTCATCTGGTGCTTCCTGACCCTCGTCCTCGGCGTCCTGGGCTTCCAGCGCCATTTCATCTTTGAACCGGGCAATCACATCGTCTACCTCGCGCCGCATCTTGTCACCATCCGAGTCATCCGAGTCGGCTGCTTGTTTTGTGTCCTTTTGATCAGGATCCTTGGGTATCTGGGCTGATAGTTGCTCCAGAAGGGCTGGAACATGTCGGTCCTTGGGGTCCGGATCGGACGTGCCGAAGTCGGCGAGCATCTCCTCGAGGGCGTTGTCGTCGGTTTCGAAGAGAGCGTCCACATCGTCCTGGCTGCCGCGAGCCTTCTTTTCGGGGCCTGTTCCACCAGATGTGTGTTTCTGCGTCTTGGATTTTGCGGCATGCAGTGTGGTGGGTGTGGTCTGAGCAGAGGCCGGCGTGATGGGTGAATGTGGCTGACTGCGGAGGTTCTCGAGTCGAGCGGCGAGCATGTCCCGCTTTGTTGGCGCTCTGGCTCGCTCGATGACGTCGAATTTTATGCTGCTGCTGTTAATGATTGCGGTTGAATGGCAAGGGCTCATGTGCCGTACGGATTTGATGCTGGCTTTTCGCGAGTGCCATTCCCGCCACGGAGGGCCTCAAGCCGTGAGAGGAGCGACCCGTCGATGTCATCGGACATGTGGACCGCTTTGTGCCTTGGACAAAGCCAGGATTCGTAGAAAAGGCTTCTTGTTGTCTTTGTCAAGGCTGTAGGCTGCCGTTTGGGATGAAGTGAGGTTTCGGGCCAGAGTGATGGGGGTGGGTCGACTGAGCGCGGCAGAGGCTGACGGTGCAGCGAGATGGAAGTGGGGTTCGACCAATGCCTCGCAGCGTCGGCTGCATTTCAAATTCCAAGCTCACCAGTGTCACCACTCACTGCGGCATCATCAGCTCCGTCTCCGATCAAATGTATGCCAAAGTCCAAAATTAAATAGGCCATCCACATGACGGGGGAAATCTGACTCCGGAATCGACATCCCAGTTCATCGGCTCGGCTCTCCGCAGTGCGTCGAAATTGCTAGAAACGCCACAGAAAGCCAATGACACTCGTCACGCTCACGCTTTCACCATGGCCTTTGTTATGCCTTTGGTTTCCGCGATGGCGGCTGCAGCAGTGAACCAGCAAGGCGCTTCCATGTTCCAGGGCACAGCCTCATTGTCGCTGCCTCGACAAAGTTGGGTGAGCCTGGCGAGTGCGAGTGCACGTGGCGACTGGCAGGGCTGGGCCTTGCGTGCTCACTCAAGTGGGCAGTGCCCAGGCTGCAGCTCTGTGGCGAGACGAGGTCGAGAGTCTGCGGCGCAGTGCGGCTGGAGAAAGAGCCGTGGCGAGCGCCATCATTGTTCAACGTTTCGTGGCGTGCTGTCGCTGAGAGGAACATTGAAACACTTCGCCGACGATGCCAAGACACCACCGAACCACTTGCTTGCTACTGAAGTAGTTAGTGCCTTGGCTCCTTCCCAACGGTCTCCCACGTCATCAGCATTAAACGTTAGTTTGCTACTCCGTACTAATAAAGGCGCCCATCTGCCTCCCCCCTCCTCAGGCCTGGCCTCGGAGGGATTCCTCTAATCATCTGCACGCTTGTTTCCAAGCTCTGTACAGAGTCGTCGCCAATTTTTTTTTCGACAGTGCCATATTATTACTTTTTGCACCTTCACCGGCAAAGCGCAGAGCTGTCTGTCGCCTTCGCTTTCCGCACTGGTCCCTGCATACAACCAGACTGACTGGTCGCCAACTGCGACCCACTCATACACCCATCATGCGCCTCGACTTCATATTCTTTGCGGCCGTGCTATTGTTCGATACTGTCGCAGGTCTCCTTGAACCTCCACACGCCGTCAGAATAGAGGCCGTCGCTCAAGAAAACGAGGACCTTTTCAAACGAGCAGGCGGCGGAGGAGGTGGCGGCAGGGGAGGCGGTGGTGGTGGCGGCTCGCGGGGAGGCGGCGGTGGGAGCGGTGGTAGAACTGGCTCCAGCTCAGGTGGCGGATCGTAAGGGCCCTTCCCCCATATATCGCTGCCAAAGTTGACCTACTTACCATGATTTGCAACTCAGCCGTGGAAATACTGCTTCTAGCTCCAACGCCGGCGGCACATCGCGAGGAGGCTCGGGAGCTCCACGTGGGTTTGGCCGTGGTTCGTACTACGGCGGAGGTGCTGCAGTCCCCTACCGATCTGGTGGTCCGTCTCCCCTAGGCATCGCTGCCATTGGCTTTTCTGCGGCAGTCCTCCTTTGGCCCAGTCCCTGGCTTCACGGTGCATATTTATACTACTACCCCCACTCATTTACCTTTCATAACGACTCAACTAGCAACAACGAGACGCTTCCCGTTGTTTGCGGTTGTGGCATGTATCAAGTATGTGGTTGCGATGAAAACAACACCACAATGAGAGAACTTGTCGGCAATGGTTCGTACGAGGCTCTCAACAAGTCTGTCATCGATATCGGCTACAACCAAAGCCAAAAGACGCTTCTTCTCAATGGGACTCTCCCCAATGGTACCACTGCCGATGGTGCAGACTCTTGCGGTGTTGCTCTTGGAATGAAGAGCTTGGTCTGGGCTGTTCTGGCTTGTGCTTTCGCTGCCATCTTCTTTGCATAGCCTGTGTCACGACAGATCTTCCTCCTGTTTGTTCCGCTTCAACGAGGTCGCCCTTGTTGGTAGCATTTGTACGATTCTTAATGACAGACGTGATCAAGTGATACCCGGTGGCAGAAACCATGGCTAGAGATTCTTCGAATTCCCAGATACGCAAAGTTTCCTCTTCTTTTGTCTAGTACTAGCTAGCACCGCACCGTGACGAAAGTCAGAACGGTTGGACAGGATTACAGCCATCTCAGGAGACAATCACTTTAGAGTTGGCCACCAACACCCGATGCAGATAGATAGATGGTGTTCATCAAGTTTTAACATATCCTGTTTCCAAGTTTTATGCCTCGCTTTTCAAGCTTCAGAATCGATCGGCGATGACATAATCACTCGGCCGTCATTTGTGGGGCTGATTCGGCGGGCCGAAGAAGACCCGATGCAGACTTGATTGGCACATTGATTGCGCAGCCTGAACAACTTCGTATGAGGTCAAGTTGCTTCAATCAACTTCCCCCCGGATCCCTCGTCTCGTCGCCCCTTACCTGAGCTGCCCTCACAAGGCGCTCTGGTGCGCGCCACGCCTCTGTAAGAAGCTCCCCGAGGATACGCGCAGACAGAAAGAAATATCATGGCGGAGGACAACAAAGACGCAGAGTTCTCGTCCTTTGACGAGAACGCTTGGAAGGCACAGGATGCAGCTGACGATCGCGAAATTGCTCGATTACTAGAGCAGAGTCAAGAAGGCGGCAACAGCTCTTTGAAGCTTGACGATGCCCCGTTCGATCAGTCCAACAAGGCGGATGATGCCCAAGATTTTGAAGACATCAGCGATGACGATCTGCCAGATGAGGAGCCGGGCGCCGGCGCCGCGCTGGAGATGCCGGCACTGACTGACGACGGAGGTACCAGCAACGACGCCGATGACTTGTTCGGAGAAGGGCCGTCTTCTCCGGCCGACCCCATTTTCGGACCACAATCCCCAGGTCCCCGTGTCCGCGACACAGACACGGCCGACGACACTCACCCTGTCGACGCGAGCCTTAGCTTCGCAGCCATCAACTTCGACCCCGATCCTCACATGAACGGAGCTGCGAATCAAGATCCCGATATTCCTGCAGTTGTGGAATCCCACGAAGACTTGCTGAAAGCTGCCTGGCCTGCGTACCAGAAGGGTCGTGTCTTAACTTGGAGTGAGCTTCTGCCACCAAAAAAGGCTACATGGAAGGAGAAGAAACCGCTCAGAAAACCAAAGCATCTGGTTACGAGCAAGCTGAGTCTCGACCTGGCTGCGGACCAGGAGAAGACGTTTCGAATTCCAGGAACCGCGACTATTGGATCAAGTCATCGTGCCCTGGAGTCATCGTTTGCCGGACTTGTTCGGTGCGAAATGGGTGGAACAACCCTGGAGGAGGACAGATCGCATTTTGACCTGGATCAGGAGTCGGATTCCGAAACTGTCATGGGATTCACGTTGCAGGATATCGACCTGGCGTGTCAGGATTGGGGCGCCCAAATCAACGCAGTCGAAGCGGAGTTCAAGAAGCGCGTTGCTGCCGAAAAGGAGCTCCTCAGGCCAAAGCAGGTGGTTGAGGACCATGATGATGAATGGGATGCAGAGTTCCTCATGGATACAATGGATGGGCGACCTCAACAACAGCCCAAGAGAAGGAAAGCCATTATATTCGGACTTCCGGAAATACCCCGATATACCGCCAATACGTTTGATAACTTTGAAGATGTGACACGACGAGGCGCTAAGCGTGTCCACTTGGACATGAGCGACCCCCATCTTCTGCTGGACACCGACACGCATCTCCATGCCAAACGGCCTCGTCTGGATTCAAAGGTCAAACGCATGGCGAACGGCAACATGAGCCGGGATATTTCTCAGCGCTTCAACCTCTCCAACGACGAAGCGTACGAGCTGCTCAAAGAGAACCACCAGAGCAAAGTACGCGCCACTCTGGGCAATATCTCCGTGGAGCACAGCATGCCTGCCATCAAGCTGTCATGGCCGTACTACAAGGTCAGACTCGGTGGTACGACGGACGAATATCATCGCCCTCGCTTTAGATACAAGAAATTTTCTGGCCACGTCATCAAGTTTGACAAGCCGCAGCACCACAAGCGAAAGATGATGAAGGGAAAAGCTCACGAGGTGTATCGCCTGTCCAAGGATCTTAGTCTGAGCGACAACTCAACGGCCGTGCTCTTTGAATATTGTGAGCCCAGACCGCGAGTGTTGAACAATTTCGGCATGGGCAGCAAGTTGATCAATTACTATCGACGCAAGGACAATAATGAAGACGACCAGCTACCGAAGCAGGAGTTGGGCGAGTATCGTATGTTGCTGCCCGAAGATCGATCACCCTTCTCTCTATTCGGCACCGTGGATTCGGGCGAAACGGTGCCTACACTGCACAACGAAATGTACAGGGCACCCGTGTTCAAGCACGCGCCTCGAGGCACTGACGTCCTGGTCGTGCGGAGCACAACAGGCGTAGAGGGTTCGAAATGGCATCTGCACAAAATCGACCACCTACACGTCGTTGGCCAGACCTTCCCCTCTGTGGACGTCCCCGGTCCTCACAGCAGGCGTGTGACCAACGCGTCAAAGAACAGGATGAAGATGCTGGCTTTCCGGATGATCAGGCACAGCCAGACAGACAACTGTCAACTGTCAGATATCACAAAGCACATAGCAGACTCCACCGACACTCAGAACAGACAAAAGCTCAAGGAATTTCTACAGTACGACAGGGAGAGTGGCGAAAAAGGCATGTGGCGCCTGAAGCCAAGCGAGATCTTGCCCGACGAAAATGCGATTCGCGCCATGATCAAGCCTGAGGAGGTCAGTCTTCTGGATGCCATGCAGCTGGGAATCAAGGAGCTCGAGGACGCCGGCTACGATCCCCGAAATGCCAACATTGACGATGACGTCATGGACATGGATGCTGAAGAAGACGACGAGGATGAGGGCGGAAGCAAGGCGCCCAAGGGCGCCAAGAAGCCTGGCGAAAAGCAGGAAGAGACACTTGCCGACAAGATGGCACCTTGGAAAACTACAAAGGCCTTCATCGACGCCTGTGCGCAAAAGGCCATGCTCCAGCTGCACGGCGAGGGTGACCCGACTGGACACGGCCTCGGCTTCAGTTTCATCCGAACGTCCATGAAGGGAGGGTACATTGAGGCTGTTCAGGGCCCGTTGGCCACGTCGGCCGACGCCATGGAGCGTGAGAAGCGCGCTAACGGCGGCCACGCCTATAACGTCAAGAAGCAACAAGCAATGTACGAGGAGGGCATCAAGGAGATTTGGGAGAAGCAAAAGGCAACGCTGTCCGACGCCCGGGAGCACGACGACAAGGACGTGGCAGTCACGGAAGACGAGGATGATCGATTCAACGTTCACGCCGCCGCGACGCCGGCGCAATTCGACGACGGCACCAGCCAAATTAGTGGCTTCACATCGGCTAGTCGCCATGTCAAGAAAGCCATCCGCATCACGAGAGAGGTCCGCCTGCAGGACGGGTCGACGCAGACGCGAACCGAGGTCGTCCACGATCCCGTCGTCATCTCGCAGTATATGAAGCGGCGAACCGAGGCAGACTTGGAACTTAAGGAGTATGTACTCAAGACGATGCGATGCAGGCCCCGCGGGGAGGCCCCCCGGGTCTGGAAGCGGCTGCCGTCACGTGTCAGGGCGCTTCACAAGTGGGCGTGCCTGGGTCACACGCATCTCGGCCCCAAGAGACGACAAGTGCCGTCTCCAGGCGCTGTTGCCGACTACGTTGGGTTGGAGTTACGAGCACCTGCTTACGTCTACCTCTCCACAGCATCTACAGCTCCCGGCCTACGGGCAATGCCGACCATGACCGCCTTGCGGGCATTAGGTATGTGGATTGACGACCTGCCCTCGGGTCGCGCCAGAGACGGTGTGCTTACACGCAGCTCGATGCAGAATCAAAAAGGAACTCGAGAGACTCGAAAAGAACAAGGCCCGACGACAGGCCCGAGAGCAGCAAAAAGAGCTGCACCAAAAGGCCAGCGCTGGCGAGGCCGGATCACCCGGCGCCATTGACAAGCTGCCCACTGGAACAACCCGCAAGTGTGCCAACTGCGGGCAAGTTGGACACATCAAGACAAACAAGAAGTATGACACCCCCCGTTTCCCCTCCCCCATATCCATCTTTTGATTGGTGGGCCGCCGCATCGCACGAGGAGGGTCGGCAAGTCTCGACGAGGAAGAGGGCGCAAGGAAAGAAGAGCACCCTACGCCGTTTGATGAAGTCATCGGACCGCGAGGCCGTCGGGAGAGAAAAGCAGCGCCAGGTCGAGCAGAGAGCTGCCGCGCGGCAGGCGAGACGAGACGCAGCCGCCGCGGAAAAGCTGAAAGCCCAACAAGAGCACAAGCAGAAAAAGCTGGACGACGCCCGTCGGCGGGACGAGGCAAGACTGCAGAAAGAAGAAGAGAAGAGAGCAAGGCAGAGGCTTCGAGAAGAGCTTCTCGCCGAGAAGAACCGCCAGGCAGAGGAGCGGCGGCGCGCAGCGCGCCAAGCCAGAGAAGAGAGGCGCAGGCTCCGTCTCGAGCGCGACGAGGAGACGCAGAGGAAGAGGGAGGAAAAGGCGAAAGCTCGCCCCGAGTTCTACTATGGAAGCTGCCGGCCGTGACAGTGTCACGCCCAGGGCCCATCTCGTCGCCCTCGCCCTCGCCCTCGCCCTCGTCCTCACCCTCACCCTCACCCCCCCAACCCACCGACATGACATGGCCACCATCACGCACGACGACATTTGCTCTTTCTGTCACCCCCAGTTGTGAGCGTTGCTAATGCCCTTGCAACAAGGTTATGCCCCAAGCTTAACGGCACGATGAAGGCGGACAACGACACGGCGGAACACGGCGGCTTTGGTAATTACAGCGCTCCCGCGACGAGTGCGGCATCCCCGCCGTGAGTTGAGAAGACTTGGGGCAGCAGACCTTTTCGTCGAGATGGCGTCGATGCGGACGGTGTCTGTTTTTATTCTTACTTTTATTTTTATCCCGCGCCATGGCGAGTTTCACTAGTATACCCAGTTCATGTTTGCACGGCGCACGGCGTTTAAACCAAAGGCAGGTAAGGTAGCTCGGTAGCTCGGTAGCTCCTTGGGGAGGAGGGACAGGAAACAGGAAACAGGAAACAGGAAGTAATGGAGTATTCATGCACGTGGACGGTGTGGCTCGGGACTGTGATTCAGATAGACGGACAGTAAATAGTTACACGCTTGCTGGGCGCGCAGCCACCTTGGCGTTGTGAGGGACCCGTGCGTGCAACCTGTTTATCCTGTATTTGGAACAAGGCGAAGGTACAAAGAGCCGCGGCCGCGCCCACGCCCATGACCTGCCCGGCAGCCTGGCTCGCTGGACACGGGCCAGAGACGGGCGTTTATCCACCGACTGCCACTCGGCTGCATCTCCTATCCAGGGAGGGACCGCAAGGCAAGGGAGGAGGCGCGAGCCCTGACGCCTTGGGGAGGCGGCTCGTTTTCCTCACGGGGCCTCGGGGCTCCCTGAGGCGCGTCCACGCTCGCCTGGCCTCTTTGTGCCTGTGTCGCTGGTGTCGCCGTGACGGGACCTTTACAGATGCCACTCAGTGGTATGCCATTACATTGCATTACGGCAGTTCGACTCCCACGCACACTCTGTCGGAGACTCAGCACCATGTCTCCGCCTCGCCGCCCTCTTCTGCTTCTTCTTGTTCGTCTTGTTCGTCTTGTTCGTCCACTGAGAATATTCACTCGCGACGGTCTGCGGCTGGGCCGTGTCTGCAGACGGCTCAGAAACCCTTGCGTATGGCGCTGATATTGAATACTCTGCGAGAGATGACTGCGAAACGCCGCTCACTGCGGCGTCTAAAGGTGAAGATCTGGACATGATGAGCTACGCGTGAGAGGGGCTGCGGACGCCATCATCGGTTCGGCCGGGACGGAAGCACGCCCGCTATACTGCCGGCCACGATGATGCACATTGAAGCTGGATGGAGAACGGAGGGGACCCGTCGAGATGCAGCCGCTACGGGGAGACGCCGCTTCATCCTGCTGTCCAGAGGAACAGCGTCCGTCCGGCGCACACATCGACACCCAGGGTGTCAGCCGCAGAACAACACCCATGTATGCTGCCCGGGCAGAGAGGATTCAGGTGATGGAGGAACTACTCACGAGGGCGCGAGCTTGGTCATTCCCGACTTGTACGGCGTCACGGCGACTTATCATGCCGTAATGTCTGAGAAATGGCGAAGCGTAGGAACCCCACGACCGAGAGAAAGAAGGTCTCTCTCCGTGTTGCAAAATTTCGCCACTTGCCCCAATAGCTCGGCACAACGATATCAATGGTAGTCGCGTGTTTGAAACTGTGCCGTAATGCCGATCCAGGGGCTTGAGAGTTTGCCGAGGACATGGCTCGTCTAGGGCAGTCTTCGTCTGCGGCTCCGACTAGACGGAACTACCAAGAATAGAAAATGGTATGGAGAATTTGTCGTTTGTAAGGCGGAATTGCGCAGGAAAAGACCGGATATTGCTCTTGGTGTTGTGGCGTTGATGGCGTCGGAGGACTCGTGGGCCTTGTTTGAAACTACCTCGTGGCAAGCTTTCGAATACTGGTCTTGTTCCGGAGCCCGGGGTAGAAGGAATATCTCGAATGTCGATTGCGCAGTTGAATGCAGCGTAGTCCGCATCTTGCTGCTTTCCACCTGCCTGGGTCACGCATTGCTTGACAACTGGACAGCCTCGACGAAGAAGCACGAAGTGCGCGGCGGCTAGCAGAGCCTAGGATTTCCCATGGCGGCTGCTAGGAATTCAGGATTGAAAAGCGCAAGCGCTGCGATTATCCGCAGCTAGAACACGCGGAGCACCCGGCAAGCACGTCGAGTTATTTTTAGACGCTCCGGTCAGAGCCTCGCGGGAGCGGGGGCCAAGTGGCAGTCGGCTGCATGATTTCCAGTGTCCAAGGATCAATGCCATCGATGTACTCCGTAAGGCGCAGGGCTATGCAATCGGGACGCAGTATTGCCCCTGGCTGCCCCGGAGGGGACGTGCGATGTGCCATGTGCGCCGTGCGTGCCGGCACCTGTTGAGAATTGAGCGTGAGCGTGCAAGCGCTTACGCAGCCTTGATAGGCGACGTCGGGGAAGCAACAGGGCCTCGTTTTCCCGACGGTCAATGTTTGTTGTCAAGGACCCTCGGAGGGCCTTGGCCTTTCAAGAGACAGGGCCCGATGTTTGCAAGGCGGCCCAGTTGTTGTCGACGTGAGAGGTTGATGGGAGCCGGCGGCGGCGGCATTGCCAGGCTTTGGCAAAGCGCCTCTCGCCGCACTCTCGCAGAGACCGCCTGCGCCCCTGTGCCTCCTCTAGACTCCGAGTGCGAAGGCAAATCAAGCCAGGACTGAGGTCAGATTATCCCCGGGACTTGCGACTTGGCTGGCGCCCAGAGTCAGATTCAAGGTCCTATTTGGCGACAAGGATACCATGGATGACGCTGCATCTTGCTAACTCATGTACATGCGCACATAAACATGCTCGGAGACACGTAGGGGTGACAACTTGTATGCAATCGCTGCCGTCATAAAAATAGCAACCACGTGGAATCGCGCACCAACAGCCACGCAAAAGGCCTGTGTCTGTGTCTGCGTCTGTCGGCGCGGGCTTCGCCCTCGACTTCATCAGTCATCAGTCGTCAGGCTTGCGGTCAGAGATGTGACAGACTGCTTGGCCGGTGAAGGGCTGGCTGTCCGTCTGTGCGCAGCAGAGTGTGACAGGAGGCCGTTGCTGCAACCGCGTCTTGTCATGGCCAGACGAGGCAAGCAAAAGTTGCACATGGTTGCAGAAGTCGAATGCGCATCGGCACGGCGGGAGATGCAGTCCGTCCAGCCCTGTGCTGTTCCTGCTAGCCTCGGGACGCTGTTCCAACGGGAGCCCTGGTGTTTCATCTGGTGTTGACTGTTGAGTTTTGAACCCTGTGCCCAGGGCTCTGCTTCTGTTTGGCAGCTCCTGTTTGGCAGCCTGCGACTACGGAGTTGGTTGTATCGCGTCTAGCTTTGAACAATAAAACGTGAAACTATTGCCGGCCCATTGTGGCAGCTTGCAACGAGAGCATCGTCTCCTGCCAGGCCCTCGTGTCAGCGTACGCGGGTTGCTCGCGGCCGGAGCCGACCAAATGAGCAACGACCTACCTAGGTAACTAGCCATCAAACAAACCTGGCGCCAAGTATGGAATACATGGAACCTCGACGTACGGCGTAGTGGCGCATGCTTTGTGCAGCAGGGAGCGGGCCTGGTGGAAACAGCCATGTATGTAGGTTGCATGGTGGTGGGCACGACAATCATGTCTCGACAACAGCAGTCGGCCTGTATAGGACTCTGTGGTTGCAATTGAATCCAAATCACGGTTCGTCGTGGAATGCATCGCCATGGACGGAGCCCTGACGCGCGCACACACACACACACACACACACACAAACTTGGACAAGGTGTCGAGATGATGGCGCGGGCGATCAAGGCCGGTGGACGACTGCACCACTCCGTCGAATACAGCGTGATCCCTGAGGGCCGTGTTCCAGGACAAGGAGAGGAAGAGGACGAAGACGAAGAAGAGGGAGGAAGAGGCCGCTGACAGGGTTGAAGGGTTGAAGAAGCCAAGGGATAGGCGGCAGTTGGCAGCGGAATCTGTGCTAGTATGTAGTAACTTAATATCAATCAATGTTTTGATGTCACCAGCCAAGAAGGAAAAAAAACGTGCAGGGCGGATCCGACCATGCCACTTGGCCCAACTAGGCAGACCGCCCGACTCAATTTGATCTTGTCGCCAAGGGAGGAAGGAGCAAAAGACGCTAAGAAACTAAAAACTAACCGCGGGGACCCTTCCCTGACAAGGTCTCTCTCTAGCAAATTAGCAAAGCAAAAATTAAAACCCGAAAACCGAAAACCGGAGAGGGAAAAAACAAAAGGCCCTACTCAGGTACGCAGTACGGAGTAGTGTACTGGTGATACGTTGAACGGGGAATGTGGCCCTTGGGCCCTTGGCAACCTACAAGAGCAGCAGCGTGCTTGCATCCTCCAGATCGAAGCAGGCGGGAAGAGGAAGGAACTGCCCGTGCTGCCTGTTGCCCTCCCCTTCCTGTGTGTGTGTGTGTTTTTTTTTTTTTTTTCCCCTTCAGCAGCATCAACTTCTAGTTTACCCTCGATTTGGTTGGGCAAACTGATGAGACGACCCATCAATCCACTCCGACACTGGGCTGGTACGCCTAATCTCTCGAGTCCACGCGCTCCGCGCCATAATCCCTGAACCCGTGAATAATGAGGCGCCGTTCATCTGCGGTCGTTTGCCTCGGCTTTGTGAAGCGTGAAGCGTTGAGTCGTCAAGCCCACCAGCCAAGGCCAAGGCCGGCCCACGACAAACAAACTTGGTCGCATGGCTGCCGCGCGCGCCCGCTAGTGCTGTGGTATCATGGCATCATGGTTTTCTCGAGAGGGTCACAGAGGGTCGTCTAGTCGGTTTGCTGCGGAACTAGTCGGACGACAAGCTGCTCCATTCGCAAATGAGCCTTTCCTTTGTCTGTTCGGGTTCAGGCGTCGAACAATGTCGAGTATCACGCGCCAGCCGGCCCCAAATGGCTCCATTCCTCCCTCCGAGTATTGCGAGATACAACAGCAACAGAGACAAAGACAGCCTCGCGGCAGCGGATTCAAAGAAGGCGACAAAACACGGGGGCAGGTGTGCGAGTTGTATCTCACATGGTAGTTAGTAACCAATAACTACTCCGTAGTCGGCGCCGTGTGACCTTTTCTCGGTCGCCATGCAACTTTGAGACCCGGATCAGAAAGCACGATTCTGCTCAAGGAGCTGCTCCAGCACTAGACAGCTTAGCTGCCCACGAACTCAAGGTAGCTACTTAGTCAGCTACTACTGACGTCGATGGAGCTACTAGGTGCCCAGTGCGCATCATCGTGGCCCGCCCCCGTCGAGACACCATCAGCCAGACCCTTGGTTGTCTCGACCTGTCCCGACTTGGCGGAGCTGGCGGGCGGACGGCAGGTACCTGGGTACTTACCTGGACAGGTACTTGGATGCAGGCTGCACAAGTACCGAGTACCGAGCACCGCGTGATGGAGCCTCCCCCCTCCCCTCTGCTTCTGCTCCCTCTGGACCCTGCCTGCGAGTTCCCCACCGCTCTGCTCGCCCGCTTCCTTTCTTCTAGCCCTCTCCGTCTTCTCTTTTTTCCCCTTCCCCCTTCCAGTCTGAACATGATCACACGTCTATTATTAGAAGCCTCCAACGCCAGATCCAGCCCCATCCTGCACCTTCGCCTGCCTTGCTGCTACAAACTCCAACAAGTCGACGCGCCAGGCACCGGCTATTTGATGCATCCCCAGCGTCCCGGCCAACTGTCCCTGTTGGAATTGTCTGCGTCCCGAGGCCGTTGAACTGCGACGACGACGTGCAGTTTTGACTTTGCGGCTGCTGTCTCGACACTCCCCTCATCCAGCCGCCACCACATATCATCGCCATCATTGCCACCACCGCCTTGCCCCCGCGCCGTCCTAATCTGCCTCGTCTTGCCCGGCCTGCTGCTTGCTTTGCTCCATGGTCACGTCACGCCTGTGGATTCCAAGCTTTTTCTTTCCCCGACGCCCTCGAGCCTCGCCCACTTGCGTCACGTCCCAGCCCTGTTTCGCCTGGTTCCCTCTCTTTTAGGGCCTGTTTAAGCGTAATAGAATTTGGCGCCCTTCTTCTATCATTTGTCTCATATTCGCCACTTTTTTTTTCCCTTTTCCCTTTTTGCCTCTGGGCCAAACCGCTACGAATTATTGACTCGTCCCGTCGCCGCAACCCGCGTATCGGACCAAGATCTCGCAGCATCGCCGCCCACGCCAGCCCTCACTCGACTCGAGTCGTCCGCACACCCGTCCGCTCCCTGTCGACGCCGGCCAGATTGCGCTGTGCTCCGAACCGCGCGCAGTCCGCAAATACCGACCGCCTTCTTTGCCAGTGTCCTTGACCTCCCGTGACGCCCGTTACCTCGACCGCAGCGTCGTGCTAGCTGCACCCTTTACGCGCGCGCGCGCGCAAGTCTTTTCCGCCATCCACTCTAGTTCTGCATCGCGTCCCTGACGCTGCGTTTTGTCAAAGTCGCACTCGGGTGCGCATTCCATCACCATGGGTCGCAGAAAGATTGAGATCAAAGCTATCAAGGACGACCGGAATCGACAAGTGTATGTTGAAACACCTCGCCGCTTGCCACCTCGTGTTGCCAACCCAACAACTAATTCTGTCGTGCTTTTGCTTTGCAGCACCTTCCTAAAACGAAAAGGCGGCCTGTTCAAAAAGGCTCACGAGTTGTCCGTGCTATGCTCGGTTGACGTTGCCGTTTTTATCTTCGGAAATAACAAGAAGCTGTACGAGTACTCATCCACAGATATGCACCAACTTATTGCCAAATACCAATTTGTACGTCCCCTTGCGGCCCGATGTTACCCATGCGCCGCCATGCTTCCCTCTCAAAACACTGATTTTACCTGAAACTAACCTATTTCCCGAAGCACGGTGCTCCCAACGAACACAAGGGCCCTTCGGATTTTAACGGCGGCGATGATGACGATGACGACGACGGCGATGGCACACCCCCACGAAGCTATGAAGGCTCTGATCACCAAATGATGCCTCCCCAGTTCCACGGTCATGGTCACAGTCAACCTCCGTTTGCTCACATTCGCCATCACACACCCTCAGCATCACCTCCCGTGCCGAATGGCGGGCCCTTTCAAGCACACCCGGGACATCCAGGGCCTAGAGGCACCACTCCACAGCCGCCCATGGGATCAAGACCTGGTTCTAGGAATGACGTGCGAAGAATGGCGCCCAGTAACATGGTGCCCCAAACTCATGGTGCGCATCCTGGAATTACTTATATGCCCGCACCTCCAATTTACCAAGGATCAAATCAGCCTGGCATGATGGGACAGCAACCGGCCGGACAATACCCATCATATGCACCCCAGCACCAACCACAACCCCATCACCACCACCACCACCACCAACAGCAGCAGCAGCAGCAGCAGCAGCAGCCGCCTTACGTGGACGACAGGCGACCCTCTGCTCCGCCAGGGTATGCTCCACAACCACCACCTCACGTAAATCCCGTCATCTCCCGGCCTGAGCCGTCACCGCCTCATACCAGCAGTCAGCAACCATTGGCGCCTCAACATCCAGGAGCGTATACTTCTCCCCCTTCGCAGCCTGATCGGCGGCCTCACGATCCTCCGCCTCCTCCGCGTGTTGAGCCCAAGACCGAACCTTTAGACCGCCAGCAATTGGGGCCGAATACTGACATTGCCATCAAGAAGCTGCCGCAAAGAAAGTCCCACAGCATATTTACGCCCATCGAGGAGAACCGGTCTATTTTGTCACAGCATCTGGCCTCCTTTGCAAGCGAAGCTCATGGGATCAAGACAGAATCGACCCGTTCTCAATCTGTGGATGCCTCATCCCGTGGTGGCCCATCGGCATCACCACAGCTGAAGCGACCAAGTACACAAAACAGCCTCGACAAGACTCGAGCGGCATCTGTCTCGTCAGGTCCAGAGAGCGCCTTCACTCCACCTTCAAGATCAAACAGTCTCAAGATTGGTGGTCCTGGCGGTGGCTCGCGACCCCGGGGCCCCCGTCTAACTGTTCAGATTCCAGACGGGGCGTCAGAGCCAGGCAGCGCTGGTGGCGAGTCAAACTCTCCCCATAACCCAGCGATCACTCCAACTCAAGCCCCTCGGCCCGGCTCTGTTGTTCTTCCGCCGCCGTCTCCCGCGGCATCAGCTCTGCTCTCCGCGGGTGCCACAGGGCCGCCGAATCCTTTTGCTCGACCACCGCCGCAGCAAGGCGTCAACGGGGAGACACCAGTGTCGGCATTGCCTTCACGATTCCTCGGCCATGAGCTTCTGCCGAGCCCGAGTAGTTTTTATCAGGAATGGAATTTTCGTGGAAACGACAGCAACACGTTGCCCAGTCCACTCAACTTTGCAACGCCCGTTGTTGGCGCGGGGCCTAGCTTTCTGAGGGATGACAACAGCCACGGCGGCGGGGCCAACAACAACAGCAGCACCACGAGTAACAACAGCAGCGGTAGCACAGCTTCTACCACGGCCAGTACCACAAACACTACAGCGACCAGCGGCACGGTGTCGACCGGTGTTGCGCTGAGAATGGCCAAACGCAAGAGCACCGAGTTTGGAGGTGGAAGCCAAAGCGAAAGTCAAGAAGGTGCGGGGGGAGCCAAGAGACTCAAAGTCGACTACACATGAGGGGCATTTTGGGATGCAAATTTCTTTTTGTTTGGGTTTACCACAAGTTACCCCTGTGAAACTGATACCCCTTTTCTATGTACATTGTGATTTCATTTCTGTTGTTGCTTCGTGGCTCGCGGTAACAGCTTTGTTGTATATCAGGGAAAATAGCCCAGGTTCTGACGGATCGGATAGCTGGCTGCTTCAAAAAAATGTTTACCGTCATTTGGTAGGTTGTCATATTCCAGGCCGATGTTGAAGCCTGTGTCGAGGGTTCGTTTCATGGAATTTGGATTTGGCATTTGTTGTTTAGTCATTGGAACCAATGTGGGACATATCGGAAAGGGACGCGGATCATTATCGATGGAGTCTTGTTTTGTTTTGTTTTTTCCTTGTTCGGATGTGCGGAAGGGCCATGGCATGACCTAGGTATATGCGATGTGATGCAGGCATTTGTCTGCAGACACGAATGAATAGACTTGGTCTGGTGAATCTGTTGGCGAGCGAGGTGCGCGGAGCCGTCTGCGGCGGTGAAAATGACATGTTGCGCCTCGTCCAGCAGCTGGGTGCTTCCGGCGATATAGCTACGCGCCAGCGGTGATTGCATTCACGTATACCGCCATGGTCGGGCGAGCCAAAGGGACCAGAGGGACCAAAGGGACCAACCCAACCGTGTGCGGAATATGTCCCCCGGGCATATCACGTGTCCGAGTCGGCGAGGAATCAACGTCGGGCCTAGTCGTAGCTGATGACGCCGTTGATAATCCACTGCCACCATTGACCAAGCACGGTTAGCCGGCCAGCAAGCCACGCTGGGCAGAAGACGGATGCGACGACGCTGCCATCGTCAACCGCCAGGCGCCGGAGGGGGGGGACTCACCAGCTCGCCGTTGGACACTCTGCTGGCGACGCGGTCGACGGCGACACCGTCGGGCATGAGGACCCTCTGGCCGTGCCTGTCCTCCCACCAGAGGTGCCGCCCGGCGAGGGTCCTTGCGCTTTCCCCCTCGGCCCAGGGACTCGTGGCGACGAGATGGGCCTCCACGAAGCGCTGGAGGTTCTTGTTGGCGCGGTCTTGGCCGCCGCTGCCGTCGTAGGCTTGTGGCCCGAGGGCGCGGTAGTCGGCCGGGGACTCCCAGGGTTTTCGGGCCAGCCCGTCCATGGCCGAGTTGAGGGGCGCAAGGACGGTCGTGTTGGCGGACGGGTCGGACAGGAGGGAGGACGTGGACGTGAAGAGGCGCGCGAGGGACGCGAAGGAGGATATGGAGCGCAGGGGGCCGATGGTGTCGCTGAGCGAGATGCGGGACTGGGTTTCGGGCTCGTATTTGCCGTGGCTGCCGTCGTGGTGCTTGGGGGCGGCGGCGGCGGCGGGCGACGGGCTGGCGGATCGGAATTTGACTGCGGGCGGCGGCGGGTTTTTGTCCCCCGAGGGCATCATGTCGTCTGGGCGGCGCGCGTCGTCGGGCATGATGGCCATGGGGTGCTGGGCCAGAGGGCTGGATGGGGCGGCGGCGGCGGCGGCGGCGGCGGCAGAGACGAGGCCGGCGATGAGGTGTTTCATGCCGCTGGAACCGGGGACGGCTGGCGATGCTGGGTGTGCGTTGGATGGTTGCCAGCGGAGGAATCAGGGTGCCGCGGCGGTCGTTGATAAAGTAACCACAGCAATGGACAGGTTCGGACGGTCATGACCGCCGGCTGTTGCTCGGAAAATCTTCCTCTGTTGCCGTTGGACTTGTGAATCGCAAATCACAGGGGCCTCTGCACCACTGACATGTGAAAAAGCGGTGGTCGATGGCCAATGGGCAGACAGGCGTTCTGGTCATTCGCTGACTTGACGGGCATGTCCCATTGGCCAGCGAGGTGGAGAAGGTCTGGCTGCCGGCCTTGCCATTGGAGTCTGGAATCGGGGAGAGGAATTCACATGTCAGCCTGGTGCGGAACATGGCAGCTCCAGATGCAACCAAATTTCCTTCAAGCATGTGCTGCAGACTCAGCGCAGTACTGTCCGACGGGCTACAGCTGAAACCAGAGGCAGCGGCGCTTCGTTCACGGGGGAGCAGCAATTGAGATATTGGAGCCCGTGAATGGAGCATGGTGGGAGGCAAAAGTCTAGCCAGCAGAGGCTGGCGGTGGCGAGAATCCAGATGATCGGTCCCGTCGGCTGATCCGGACTCCGGAGCATCGGCCTTGTGACCGAACAATGCGGACTGACTCCACAATGTACAATGTTGAGCGAGTCGGAAAATCATAGTCGCCAACTATGTTACCTCGAAGGAAAAAAGGGTCGTCTTGATTCTGGTTCTTTTTTTTCTTTTTTTTAATCATGTATGATTTTTAGCTTTTGTTCGATTTCTTTCTTCTCCTTTTGACATGTTTTGTATATTCGTAGCGTAGCCTTGGACGCAGCACGTCCATCGCTCTTGCCATTCATTAGTACTTAGTCTCGCAGACGGAACACCACGCCAGTTGACTCGTTGTGGGGCCACCCCGCCGCCCGGCCACTCAGAGCGCTTCCATATGGGTACTGCTCGCCTGTCCTCCTGCTCCACGGCAGCTCGTCGCCGCTCAGTGCTGGGGCAGGCAGGTCCGACCACGTCCCCCGTTCCCAGGAGGCGCGACCCACAGCTCTTGCCCCAACTTCGACCTCGGCTGTCTTACCGTCTGGCTTCCCCGTCCTCGGTTAAAACTCCCGTTACCGAGATCCCTTGTTTAACCTTTTCTCTCTCTCCCCCCATCACTTCGGTCTCGTCACGCCCCTATCCTCCCCTACTCCCGCTGTGTATTGCTACTCCTTCTCCCACGAGCCCAAACCGCAGCGTCTTTTCTTTGCCTTGTCGAAAATACCCTCACACACTCAGTCACCATGGCTCCTCGAGTGATTGTCGTTGGTGGTGGCCGTAAGTTCTACAAAATCTGATGTTTCGCGTGCGACGGCGGCATTGGCGCCGTCATTTGTCTGGCCTGGATACGTCCAGACGCCCGCTGCCGAAGCTGGCTGCCAGTGTTGCTCGTAAATCTCGTTGCAGAACGCTAATCATCTGGTCCCATAGTGTCTGGCTTGAGCGCTGCTCACACCATATACCTGGCAGGCGGCAACGTCGTCGTCCTGGATAAGCAGGGTAAGTGAAAGTCCGGCTTGCCGTCTTTCGCCCGAGTCCGAGTCATGCCTTGATGCGGCTGCCACCATCATGTCGAGTGCTGTCCTCCGGCCGACGGGTTGGAAAGCGACCGAAATACGACATTTCGGCTCCCGCAGTCCGCTCTAGCCATTTGCATGTGCTGACCGACCTTGTGCCTCTCCTAAAGGTTTCTTCGGAGGAAATTCCACCAAAGCCACATCCGGTATCAACGGAGCTTTAACTAGAACACAAGTCGAGCATGGCATCCCCGACAGTGTCAAGCAGTTCTACGACGATACTCTCAAGTCGGCTCGTGATAAGGCTCGCCCCGAACTCATCAAGGTCCTGACCTACAAGTCTGCTGCTGCTGTTGAGTGGCTCCAGGACGTGTTCGATCTCGACCTCACTCTCGTCTCTCGTCTCGGGTAAGATTCATGCATTCTCACAACCATCACCGTCATTGCGACGCCCAGCCGACTGTCGCGGGAAGAAATACCATGTTCTGTTCATTGACGCTAACGCCTTTTAGTGGCCACTCTCAGCCCCGAACCCACCGTGGTCATGATGCCAAGTTCCCTGGTATGGCCATAACCTACGCTCTTATGCAGCGCATCGAGGAGCTCTCCGAGACGGAGCCTCACCGAGTCACCATCATCAAGAAGGCTCGCGTCACTAGTCTGAACAAGGATGGCAACACCATCACCGGTGTCACCTACGAGAGTGACGGCCAGACCGCCTCTCTCGACGGCCCTGTTGTCCTGGCCACGGGTGGCTATGCCGCCGACTTTGGCGAGACGTCTCTGCTCCAGAAGCACCGCCCCGATACCATGGGCCTCGCCACTACCAACGGCACCCATGCCACAGGTGACGGCCAGAAGATGGTCATGGCCATTGGCGGCAACGGCATCGACATGGACAAGGTCCAGGTCCACCCCACTGGTCTGGTCGACCCTAAGGATCCCGGATCCAAGTGGAAATTCCTGGCTGCCGAGGCTCTTCGTGGTGAGGGTGGTATCCTCCTCAACGGCGACGGCGACCGATTCTGCGATGAGCTCGGCCACCGCGACTACGTTTCGGGCATGATCTTCAAGGAGAAGGACAAGGGCAAGTATCCCGTCCGCCTCATCCTCAACTCCAAGGCCTCCAAGACTCTGGACTTCCACACCCGCCACTACTCCGGCCGTGGTCTCATGCGCAAGATGACAGGCCAGGAACTGGCCAAGGAGATTGGATGCACTCCTGACCATCTCCAGAAGACCTTCCAGACTTACAACTCGATTGCCGAGGGCAAGCAGAAGGATCCTTGGGGCAAGAAATTCTTCCACAACATGCCGGTAGACATCGACGACGACTTCCACGTTGCGCTGATGGAGCCCGTCCTCCACTTCACCATGGGCGGTATCGAGATCAACGACAAGGCCCAGGTCCTCAACCAGGCGCAGAAGCCCTTTGACGGCCTCTTTGCCTGTGGTGAGCTGGCTGGTGGTGTCCACGGCGCCAACCGCCTGGGTGGTTCGTCGCTACTCGGCTGTGTCGTCTACGGCCGTGTTGCTGGCGACTCCGCCAGCAACTACCTCTTCCAGCAGGCCCTTTCTGGTACGGCTGCCGGAGCCGCCGCCCAACGTCTGGGTCAGATCTCTCTCCACCTCGATCCTTCGGCTCCTGGCAAGCTGACGGTCGAGTGGGCCAACGGTGGCTCGGCCTCCGGTGCTGCTGCCGTCCAGCAGCAAGCCGGCGCTGCTGCTGCTGCCGCTCCCGCCGGTGAGTCCGCCGCCAAGGCCAAACCCGACCCCAAGGCCTTCAAGATCCCCGAGACGGAGTATTCCATGGAGGAGGTCGCTAAGCATAACAAGGAGAGCGACCTGTGGGTGGTAGTTAAGGGGGTCGTTCTGGACCTCACCAACTGGCTCGACGAGCACCCCGGCGGTCCCCAGGCCATCAAGAACTTCATGGGCCGCGATGCCACCGAGGAGTTTGAGATGCTGCACGATGACGAGGTCATCCCCAAGTACGCCCCCGAGCAGGTTATTGGCCGTGTCAAGGGCCAGGAACCGTCCCTCGAGTTCTAGACGAAAATTAGTGACTCGGCTGAAGGGTATAGCCTGAGGGGGGGGTTGGCTGACTAATTATTAGTTGCGGGGAGCAGGAACTCGGAGAGGCACTTTCATTTGTTTCCGGTTCTTGGCTAAAAGAACATGGGGTTTATCTGCACATAGAGCATGACCATATGAGGACGCTGCCGGAGGACGAGGAGGACGACGTTTGATGAGCAAGATAGAAGCAACACGATACTGAAGGTTTGTTGCGCCGGCCGGGGGCGGCGCTGAGAATGAAGCATGTTGACGTGCTTAAGCCAGGGGTTCCCCTCGTGTGTCGGTCGATACATCAGACCAGCACTTGCAGGCGCATTTGGATATTTTGTTTTTGTCGTCGACTTTTCCTGCATGTACCGATAAATACGTTTTGCATCGCTCGACATGTACCACTATATAACTATGATTGACTTTTCCAGCCTTTCATGTCTTTGAAGTGTAGGATATGTTCATTTGCCCTGGGCCTACCGACCTATTGGCGCATCGTGAGGGAGTAGTTGTACTCGTCCAACAGGGCCGCAGGAGAGGATGGTTGGTCTTGGTGAGCCTGGGTGTCCCGACATCTTCAAGTGACAGGTCGCACGACAACCTTGATATGTATATATTAATTAACTATATACATTCTCGGTAGATGTGGCGCTACAAAACATTTTCGCTCAGCCGTGGCACCCCTGGAGTCTGTGCTCGCCGCGAACCTCCAGGGTAGCTCCGCCCCGAAGCAACGGGGTGGCGTTGGGGTCAAGCGTCAAGGTGAGGGCCAGGGTTAGGGCCACGGCCGGAGGGGCACTCTGCCGCCGCTGTTCTGTGGTTCTGAGCAGAGCGAGACGTGACGAACAAGACTACGGCATGGATGCGAGCACGATCATCGGCTGCCCTCCCCGCGTTCACAGGCACGTGCCAAGGTGCTCGCATCCGAGACTCGGGCGTGTCTCGGGCCGTTGGTCTTGGGCCGTTGGTAGCATGCCCGTGTCTCAGATATGGAAACAGCGGCCGAGGTTGTAGACAGCGCGAGGAGGTAACAAATCTACTCGAGTAGGCGCAACTCTACAGGACAGCCGCGGCCAGGGTTAGGGTCAGAGCGACGGGCTACCAGGAGACGGCTAGAAAAGCGGGGCCGGAGTCGGATCTCTTTCACCTGACCTTGCGCCCGGGTGGGCGGCACGTAGTTAACTTACGTTCCGAGCCAATGTACGGAGTTGGCAAGCGCGAACCACGACATTGGCCAATCCTGCTCGTGACGGCTCGGTCGCGGCTCCACTCCGTCGTTAGCCTCGAGGTTATTTCTGTCGCGGACATGAGATCCACCCCTGGGCCGGGGCTCACGATGGACCGAGCTAGCTCTTATCGACTTACACTCGGACGAGGTCGAATGAAGGTTAGCTAGCAGAGTCAAGGCTGCCCCGGTACCGTGGTTGAGTGCAGATGCTTCAGAGCCGCACGGCGTGACGGAGCGCCCCGCCGGCAATTGAAATCGTCGCTCGTGTTCGACGAGGACAAAAACGTCGGAATTCGCCTAGTCTGCCCCAAGAAACATGGACGGGGCGTCGCGGCAGACGGCTCAACCCCGTCACGATCCTTCTCCCGCGCTTTCCCACCGTCATCGAGATCTGCCCGTCCGTCGCGGCAACTACACAAGCATGCCGGCCTCCTGCCGGCCGTTGTCGAAAGCTGGACTCTACCGAGCTACATCCAGTCCTTGCTACGCTCTCCGTTTGTCGCCAGGTCTCCAGGATGATGGGCACCTCCGGCACCGGCCACTTCCTCGCTCGGCGGGCTGCCGCGTACGCCGACGCCTTGGTGGCCGTACACCGGTCGTTTCCTGGCGGAGACGTATTCGTCAACATGGCCAGAGGCAGCTCCGGCCCCAATGTAAGCACCGTGTTTCCCAACCCGGCACGTCGAATCACGCCCTCTCACCACGCCCTCTCCCGACCACGCCTCTGTAGAGCCTCGCCCTGGCTCTTCTTTTCTAACAGGCGCGTCCAAGTCCAGCAGCCCGGGCGGCCCACCGTTCCGAGCGGACGTTTCCGACCTCTACGGCGTCGCCTGTCCTCTGGAGCTGGAGACGGGCCCGGCCAAACCGGCCGACGCCAACGCCTCCGGCTCCCCCTGCGGCGCGACACCAAACACGGCCATCGCCATCCCACGAGGCGAGACGGACACCTGGCACCCGTGCTCCCGTGACGCGGCAAACCCCGCCCCCGACGGCCCAGGGAGTCCAGAACACGAAGCGGCACGAGCAAGGGTGAAGAAGAGACAGGCCCAGAACCGAGCAGCGTGAGCGTGAACCCGTCCCGGTATTTCTGGCCTCCCCCCGCGCAGAGCCGTGATCTAACGCCCGCCTCTCCTCACCGCAGACAGCGCGCTTTCCGCCAACGCAAAGAGCGCAGGATCAAGGACCTGGAGGACCGGGTGGCGGAGCTGGAAAGGACGACCAAGGAGACGGTGCTCGACAACAAGCGCCGGCGGCTGCGGCTGCGCGACTTGCTTGTGGAAAACCAGGTCCTGCGAGCGGCCCTGGCCGCGGACGCTCCCGCTTCTGCTCCCGCTCCTGGCCGGCGCTGCTCCGGCCGCGCAGTGCCCTCGTTGCGCTCGGATCCGGCCAGCGCCGGCGGTCGGGTAGGTTGGCTTGAGAGCGACGCGGACCTCGGGGCCGGCGACGAGGCCAGGGGCAAGGAGAGGAGTGCGCGGGTCGGTCCTGCGCGCGGGCCGGGCGACGAGTCGACGGGGTGTCTTGCCTGGTCGGGCGTGTGTCGGCTTATGCTGGCGGAGGACACTATTGTCGGGCAGTTGAGGAGGCTGGAGAGCGCGACGGACGACCGTCTCCTCGGACATGAAACTTGCGGGAGCGCCGATCGCGCGAATAGCCCGGGTTGTTGTTGAGATTCTGGAAACTTGACGGCGATGGACGACGTATCACGGGACGGCATTGGGCAGGTTTACGATGGGACTAGACGGCGCTGGTCACGGATGGTCTTTTGACTCGCGAGGGCTCGACGGCTTCTCTCTCACTTCCCCCCTCGTTGGGAAGATGTGGATGGCGGTAGAGCCGGGCCTCGATGCCATCTGGCTGGACGGAGCGACGGGGCGCGCGGCACTTCCTCGCTTCCTCAAGTACATACATGTACTTGTAACGAGACTAGTTAGCATCCTACTGTATATGCGAATTCCTATCAGCTCGTGATTCCGAGTAGCTCACAGTTTGTGATACATCTATTCTAGGACATAACTCGACACGGCACGCCCATTGCCTCTTTTGCAGGGGACGTCTGTATTCGCCGCACATGGATAGGCCTCCTCTTACTGAGCAGAAGATTCTTAGTGGGGAAGATGAAGAGGGTTCATTTTCACCACAGGCCAGCTCGGTGACCTCATATGGCGTCTGAGGCTCGAGTACAGAGCGTTTGGGGGCTTTTAGCTTGAAACTAGGTCCCGTTTGTATTAGATGTGCTCCATGCCGCGGGTACCGGCTGGAACGCCGGAACCTGATCCATTCCTGTTAAATCTGCCGCGAGACTGCACGCGCCAGCGCCGGCTGATCTGTTGAAGTCGGAGTCGGAGTCTCGGCAGTCGGGGGCCCCGATCCTCGACTTGACCGCTTGAGAGGCTTGTCGTTTTATTTCGTGGCTACTCATCACCGCTGGCTGTTGCAACCCGTGGCTATGGTTTGCTCCCCGTCTTTGATGGGCTCCGAATTGGTCTCCGACGCCGACGAAAGGCAACTGACGGACGGTGCTGGGGCGTCTGAAGCTTCTGAGCCCGTAGGCCTGCAGCCTTACTCCTGCTTGTCCTGTCGCCGGAGGAGGAAAAGATGCGACAGGACCAGCCCGTGCGGCAACTGCCGCAGAGCAGGGACCGAGTGCGTCTTTGTCCCGAGGAGGCCGTCGACGAGACAGCATTCTGGGGCTGCGGCGTTGGAACGGGTCAGACATCTCGAAGGCGTCGTTGGACAGCTACAGGCCAAGCTGGAGTCGGTGTCTTCAGCGCAAGCGGGCGGCGGCGAGGGAGTCGACGGTGCTTCGAGCCCTCGGGGGCCTGGGGTGTCCTCGGCACAGCCGCCCCTGACGCGTGATGCTCGCGGCGGCGGCGTGTCCGGGTCTGATGATGAAGTGGAAAAGGCAAGTACGGAGTTTGGCCAGCTTGCAGTTGGGGAGGGAAGAAGCAGGTATATCGTGAGCGACTTTGTGCCAACCTGGTTGAAGGGGTAAAGGAAACACCACCCATCCCATCCTCCTCTGTCAAATACTTGAACCACACGAGGAACAAGGAAAGCTTCCATGTGCGAGTCAATGACCAACACGCCGTCTCGTGATACGTCTAGCTGGATGGAGCCGCGGAGGTTCTGGAGGACTTGGCTGGCGAAGAGTCACAGCGGCACCGAGAACACGGACAAGACGACACAAACACGCAGACAATGACTTGGCCGCTCGGTCTCGGTTGTTCCAATGTCGACCTGAGTCTGCTGCATCCGACGCCGGAACAATTCGCGGTTTACTGGCGCCTGTACAAGGAGAAGTGCTATCCCATCATCAGGATCTTCCACCTCCCGACCGTGGAGCCGGTCATTCTTCATTGCCAGGGCCAGAGAGACGGCATGCCGCGGACCGTTGAGGCACTGCTATTCGCCATTTACTTTTCCACCGTGGTCAGCCTCCACCGTGAGGAATGTCTGGACAAGATTGGTAGCGAAGAGAGCACTCTGATCAGGATCTACAAGGCGGGCATGGAGCAGGCCTTGGCGCGGGCACGCCTCTTCGACACCGACCAAGTCACGGTGCTCGAGGCGTTTGTCGTTTTCCTCTGCAGCCGCCGGAACTGCTGCAACTTGCGGCTCATGTGGTCGCTCACGTCCATGGTGGCGCGGCTCGCCCACGGCATGGGCATCCATCGTGACGGCCCGCACTTTGGCCTCTCTCCCTTCGTCACCGAGACAAGACGACGGCTTTGGTGGGTCATCTGCGTCCTCGAGTGCAGAGCCGCCGAAGCCCTGGGCTATCACGCGTCGACGCACACGTTGAACAACGACGCGCAGATGCCGCGCAACATCAACGACGCCGACTTTGGCCCCGGCACGGCCAGCCCCCTCGCCTCGAGAGGAGGCTTCACAGAGATGGCCTACGTCGTCATCATGTTCCAAGCCACCGTCGTCGAGTCGCATGTTCTGCTCTTCGCCGGCCTGCCCACCGCCAAATGGAGCTGGTTCTGCTGCTCCCCAGTGGAATGGTACGCCATCGCCTACATACTGACGGAGCTCTGCGTCCGCACCCGGGGCGAGCTGGTCGACCGGGCCTGGGAGGCCGTCACCTCGGTCCTCGAGGCTGACCGGCCTACACGGCCGCTGCCCGCTGCCGCGGCCCCGGGAGACATGGTGCTCGGCCCCAACTCCCAGCCAGGAAGCCTCAGCGCCTTCGAATACAAGCGCATGAACAAGTTGTTGAGGACAGCGAGGGCGGGGCGACGCGGCCGGCCCCAGTCGCCGGGTCCGGCGATGCCCTCCAGGCCCGGCCCGGCGGACCTGCTCGTTACGGCGCACCGCTTCAACGACGGCCTCATCTCCGGCGCCGCCGATCCCATCCCTGCTTCCGTGAACCACTGCGACTGCGACACCAGTGGCCGGGAGGCCGTTTCTGCAGACTACGTCCGCGACCATCTGTCCGACATCAGCCACGAGCATCCCTTCGATGGTCTCCTGTACGGCCCGTCACCGAGTCGTGCGGACACGCTTGCGGAACCACCACTACCAGACTACTTGTCCGACAAGGGGCCTGCGCCGCCAGACACACTGTAGCAGCACTCACTCGCGCTCCTGTGGAAACAGCTTGGAGCCATCGATACGGCGGCGGCCAGGATGCCAACCACAAGGCAATCTCCATGATCTCGGGGCTCGTCAAGCCCAAGCCACCGGTTGCATCCAGCACGCGCGTCTGGGAAGCAGCACGAGGCCGCAGAGGCGTTTTTCTGTGGACCATCGCAAATGTAGAGGCTTCTTTGATTCATGCCAACGGCAGGCAAGTACCTTCAGGCCAAGTTGCGGGGAGCATAGAATCATCTTCTTGTGTCTTCTATTTACTCCACTCAAAACGGTTACTGTGCATTGGAGCCAGCAGAGCCAAGGCACGCTCATCGGTTGGATATGGATCGGACACCGCGCCAATTGCTGCATCTTCCTTCTCCGTGGCTTGGTGGTCATGACCGCTCTGACAATTTGCGACATGCAGAGTGCATGCAAGTCGGGAGACATCACCTGAGCTGCTGGCTTACAATCCGCACTCCTGATGAACGTAAATGCGTCTACACACAGAACCTTGACGGCCAATGTCATTGCAACCTTTGAACAGTTCCATCGAGCTGGTGGATGGCGACTCCCAAAGCCCATCTATGCCGCTATGTGTTGCCCCATATCAGTTCGTGGGTAGCAGGTGTTCACCCGTTGCTGTATCATGTGCGGTGTTTCCTTGGGTCACTTATCCCCAGGATGCATTTGCCAACGATAGTTGAGCACGTTTCGAAACCACATTGATTGCGTGGCATTGCTCCCATCTAGAACTCTTCTTGGAAGCAGCACCAGGAGCTTCTCCCGCATGCAGCCGCAGCTGAACTTTGGCTTCCGGCACTCATCCGCCAACACGGCATATTGACCAAGCAATGTCGAAACTCTCCCAATCGCCGGGCTGGGCAGCCCACAATATTCAACGACAGGGCTAGTGAGCGGGCCGGCTTCTTCGATAGTCTGGTTGAACAGCCAGCGATTCATGTGAACGCCTCACACGCTAATTTGAATGGTGACGCCGCGGCAGTTTCGCAATTCCCCGAGCTTAAGAACGGATGTGTCAGCAGAATATACGGCCCATCGATTGCATCTATGTCCTTTTTAAGTCGCAGTTGTAGCGGAGCGTATCTTTTCCTGCTGCAGTGGCCTGGCGGTCAAACGGACAGCATAGCGACCGTCTGGTTGGATGTAACGGTAATTTTCATCTTCTTCTAAAGCCGTTGGGATTGAAATTGCAACGGATTAGGATAGACGGGAAGAACTGGGTAACCTTTACATCAACTGTTCTTGGATGTGATGGGCGCATTGACGGCGCAAAACAGACTGGCCTCCAGCATCTTCCAGCCTTGTGTAGACTCCTTTGACAACCGCAAGACGGGGTTGACCATTTCCCTGCTGCCAAGTCATGCCACAGCGCTATCATATTGCAGGAGCTGGCGCTAATCCACGCATGATGGCCACGGTCGGCGCTTTTCGAAGGCGTTTCCTAATTGATCGGGCTTCTCGGGTGCTGACAGAGCTCAGGCACAGGACAGGCCGAGGCCAACAATGGTCACTCTGCTAATATCCAGCTGTATGCAAGTTTTCTTTGGCTGGCCCCGAGCACACCACATCGGTTGAGGGGGGCCTTGGCGGAAACAAACAATCCGGCTTCCATTTCGAGAGCAGCGGTGAAAGATGGAGGCGGGTGCCAAATTCGATGCCGAGTGGCACATGTCGTTGGCCTTTCTGAGGCTGCCTGCAATTGTCGTTGGCTGCAAAGACGACTTGACCAGTTGTCTAGAATTATAACTTGCAGATTCCAGCGTTAGGTGACGAGCTCTTTCATCGACGTGTCAGATTCGCAGATTGGAAGGGAGCGAACGACTGCATTCCGGGTAAGCCACGGCAAGGGAGACGATATTGCCTCAACGCCATCGTTCACCGGCTTTTGCCGGATCCCTGGTGATACGAGCCAGCGAATTTTCTGAGTTGTCGACGGTTGTAGACCTCAATGGCACCAGCATTGTCCGCGGTCTCGGCACGGTACCCAAGGTGGTGCGGTTAGTCCTTGCGGCTTTTGCGGCAGGCAGATCAGGAAGACGGCCGTAGTGGTGCTCGAGGGGCTGACAGAAATGGCTTCCAACGATTCGGCTCATTCGCTGCGCCTGGGTGTGGAAGGGAATTCAGGATACAGTTGTAGACCTACTTCTCCATAGAGCGGGGTTCAGTTTTGCAACCATGACGTACAGTGTCGCCCGCACTATATGCACATCAACCAGGAAGAAGGCAAAGCGCAAGCTTCTTAAATTAGAAGCACCGCTAGTTCCCAAGGCCGCACGGCATCCTGGCTAATAAAACTGTTCAACCAAAGTCTCAATTTCTAGTACAGAGCGTTCCTGAATGGCCCCGCACCACTTCGTACTGCCGCAAAAAAGGCCGTGCCTTCTTCCTTGTACGGCACTGTCTCGCCTGCTGGCCGAAGCTGCCGGTTTGGAGGCTATGTGAAAAGGTTTCCGGTTTCCAATAAATCGTCCTCGACGAATTTGGCTCCATCAGTGGCGGACCGCATGAGCTCGGATCACGCCATGAGCCGGGTGTCATGCACTCAATCACCAACCGCACGGCAAGAGAATCATTCCTCACTGGCCAGTGGTGTCCATGAGGCGCTTGAGCGTGGGGAGCGAACCCCCCAGCTTAGACGTTGGAGATGTTCGGCGGCCGATGATTAAGGACTCGACAGCGGCAGCACGGCAAGGGAACCACAAGGCTAGACATTGTGATTGAGTACGCATCACTGGCAGGACGTCAAAAATGTAGCGCCTGCTGACTGGACTTGGGCTATCGGACTTGGGGATCGAATACAACTTCCCAGATCAAATGGGCGCCGACATACGGGGTAAGACAATGCCGACTGTGTAGGCCCATGACACCGTCGACACAAGGACGAATCAGAACGCCCTTTCGACATGGCCATGAAGGCCTGCTTGTTGGCTGCGCAGCCTCAGTTCCAGCCTTGATCTGTACGACTTACGAGGGGAAAATCGTGACGTCCCTCGACCTCGATGATGGCAACGGCCCATCCATGGCAAAAGGCGACAAGATGACTATACTCGGGGTCGGTTGAGTCCAGCACAGCACATGACTCGGTCGTGCCATTGACAGCATGGCGGCGATGGGCGAGTACCTTTCATCAGACGATCTGAGGCGTTTGGTGCGAGGCTGGCAGAGCATCGTGTGTCCCAAGACCAAGAGTCCGAGAGTCCAAGACTAAGTGGACAAGTCAGTCTGGCGATGCCAGCTTCGGAATAGCGTCAGAATGTGGAGGGTGGGCCCACCTGTAGCTGACATCCGGCCAACCATGAAGCACCGAGCTGCCGGAGCCAGGCGGACAGTGCGAGCAATGTTACGTCCAGCGTTGGAACTGGGCAGCGCAGGCGCCAGCACGACCAGACACCAGTGACCGCCGCCGCTTTCGTGCTGTCGGCGGCGCTGAAGCAAAACGATCCAACATCGAACCAGCCGTCACCTTGATGAAGCACGACAGGACCAGCATGTCAGCGAGGGGCCAGGTAATACGGAGTATTCCGTACACAATGGAAGCATCGACGTGCCCCGCTATCCCCAGGGAGCCGGGCTCTCGGCGCCGAGACGGCCCAATCAGCAGCACAGGCTCGCGGCTCCCTGCTTGATTTGGGGCCTTCCGTCCGCTTTGGCAGGAGCGACAACGCAGAACACAGGCGCGCCTGCCCCTGCTACATAACATTGACTGCCGTCACACGCACACACGCAGTCTGTCTGTCTGTCTGTCTGTCTGAGTGGGGTCCGACACTCCGCCATCATGTCCAATTCAATGGTGCGGTTGGCTTTCTAGCCACACTCACGCCTCTGCTCCTTCCCTTGACCCATCCTTCACTACTCATCCTGCCTACAACTCAGACTTCCTCTCATCAGTGACGACCCAACGACGAATTCTTAGGCCCTCGCTCTTTTGCCATTTCCTCGATCTCGGATCCGTATAGCGACGACTCGCGAGCGATTACTCCTTCCCATCGATAAATACATCCCCTATCGCTGTCAAGTCTATTTATCCTTAGTCACCGACAAACTCATTTCCGCCGACCATCTACCCAAATAATATCCAGGCTTCCCCTTGCCCTAGTCAGCAATAGACCGACACTGAGATACACTTCTGGGCTCGCTTTAACCCACATCAGCAAGTTGTCGCGACACTCTACCCCCGACATATCCATCCATTCCGTTTGTCCGCAAGGCCGCCAAGCGCGACCCTTAATCCTGGATTGACGTCCACTCCACCGCAACCATGGCCATTGCCATGGGCTGGCAGAAGCCCGACAATGTCGCTGGCTCGTCAGCGCCGGCCATCATGGTCGGGCTCTTTGTCGCTTCTGGTGGATTGCTTTTTGGTTATGATACTGGGTAAGTTGGCGCCAACCGGAATTCCCTCCGCTAGCGTTCAAGTGGCGGGTAGTGCGTTCCGTCGAGACGGCGGCCAAATGACGGGGGGGAATTCAAAAATGTTGAAGTTGCTTTAGCTGTCCAAGTACAGCGTAGACCGTACTTGTTGGCCTAGAATCAGTTTTGTCTGGTCAGGAAAGAATTCGTCCCCACTGCACTGACTGTCTGGGGAATACTACTTTATTCATGGAAATACCTGTCGCTAATTCTTTTCCCTCTCGCTCACTAGGGCCATAAATGGCATTCTAGCCATGGACGCTTTCAAGACGCAGTTCGGTGCCAATTGCCAATCGACAATGCCTAGCGACGACTCCCCATCGATTTGTCCAAAAGTTGCATCCCTTATCGTCGCAATTCTCAGCGCCGGCACAGCTGTCGGAGCACTTCTAGCCGCTCCGGCTGGAGATTCACTGGGTCGACGGATCAGTCTCCTCATCGCGGCTGGCATCTTTTGCATCGGTGCCGTTTGCCAAGTCTGCGCCAACGAGATTGTACTTTTAGTTGTCGGCAGGTATGTCATATCCAAGTCTTTCATTTTTAATGGATGCCCTACTTCCGCTCCGCAGTACGTGCTTCTAACAGAGACGAAGGGCATTGGCTGGCGTCGGTGTTGGCGCCGTCTCGGTTTTGGTGCCCCTATATCAGTCAGAAATGGCGCCCAAATGGATACGCGGAACACTAGTTTGTGCATACCAACTCTCAATCACGGTTGGTTTACTATCCGCCTCTATTGTCAACATAATCACATCGAAACTCCGCGACAGCGCAGCGTACCGAATTCCTCTGGGGCTGCAAATCATCCCGGCCCTCATTCTCACCGCCGGTCTGCTTGTGCTCCCCGAGACTCCACGTTTCCTTGTCAAGCAAGGCAAAAATGAGGCCGCCGGCCTGTCGTTGAGTCGACTTCGTCGGCTGGACATCACACATCCCGCACTCATCGACGAGCTGAATGAAATCATCGCAAACCACCAGTACGAACTTAGTCTCGGTCCTTCCACCTATAGGGACGCCTTCTGTGGGACTCCTCATCTTGGTCGCAGAACATTCACAGGATGTGGTCTTCAGATGCTTCAGCAGTTATCCGGCATCAATTTCATCATGTACTACAGTACAACATTTTTTAATGGCGCCGGAGTCCAGAGTCCATACATGAAATCCACCATTATCAACGTCATCAACGTTGTATCCACCATCCCTGGTTTGCTCGTTATTGAATCTTGGGGCCGTCGAAAGCTACTGATGACTGGAGCTTTGGGCATGGCTACATGCCAACTGATCATGGCGTCGTTCACGACGGCCGCCGGTAATGGGCTTCAACGTGTCAAGGAATCAATCCTTGTTGTCTTCTGCTGTTTCAACATTTTCTTTTTCGCCGCGTCTTGGGGACCAGTTGTCTGGGTTGTCACCTCGGAAATCTACCCGCTCAAAGTGCGAGCCAAATCTATGTCGCTCTCTACCGCTTCCAACTGGATTCTAAATTTTGGAATCGCCTATGCTACGCCATTCATGGTCGGCTCGGGTCCGGGATCAGCAAGCTTTGGACCCAAAATATTTTTCATCTGGGGTGCATTCTGCATCGTCGCCTTCTTCTTTGTTTGGTGCATGGTGTACGAAACAAGCAAGATCAGTCTGGAGCAGATAGATGAAATGTATGAACGTGTCAATCACGCATGGAACAGCAACGACTTTCAACCGAGCTGGAGTTTCCAGCAAATCCTGGACCAGGGTTGGTCACCAAGTGGCATCCCAGAGCACGAGTTACAAACCACAACATCACAAAGCAGTGCGGACACGACGCTTGGCGACTCAGGGTCATCCACCATCACCATACAACACAGCGACGGAGAGCAAAATGCCAGGCAATCGAATGAAAACAAGGTTGTACCAATGGCGACGGTTGATTTTAGTTATTAAGCGATATACCCGCGCAAGTCGAGCGCAGCACATTTTGAAAATGCCTACATATCAAGATTCCTTCGCATTGGAGATATTTGAACACAGCGGGAAACTGACCCATGATGATGTGACACTGCGAATTTTCTTGTAGTCTGGGGAGGCGCTGTTTCCCCCATCAGCCTTCAACGCGCCGGCCCTCTAGCCACGGTTAGCCACCCGTCAGGCCGAGAAGCACAAGTCCGTTGAACGTCCGACCACCTCGTTCATCTGCACTGTCGACTTGGGTCTGTTCTTGACCGGCGCCTTTTCCCTCAGGGTCAGCTCATCCTTGCCATCCCACGCTGCCCGGCCCCGAGCACTTCCCCTTGCCCGCCTAGCCATTACGCTCCCCGAGCCAGCTCTGGTCACCTGGGCCAACGTGGCCTGGCTGCAACGATCCGGATCATCCAGAAGCTAATTTGCGCGCTCTCCTCCTCGACGGGAAGGTGTCGCCTTCCGTCCCTCGTTGTGGAGCTCGGAACACTTCCCGAAAAGTAAACTAATGGCCAAGAATGTCTCACGCTTGACATCGACACGTCATTTATAATGCCTTGGCGAGCAAGACTCCTTCGCGTCCTACTAAATAGACTGATAAGAAGAACATGTTGGCTGGGGAGGACAGCACCAGAAATTCATGCCACTAGTAAAGGGCTAGGGGCGTTGCAAAGGTGTTGGACAGGATCTCGTTGATCGAGTCGGCGTGGAAGTACTGAGCCGTTGTCAAGCACCTTTATACCCAGGTCCTCGAGGCGCTTGTCATGACCCTGGAGTGAGGAACACACAATTTTTCATTGCTCAACTTGACAATTACCTACACTTGTAGCGGCGCTTCTTCTATTTCTCCTGACAGCTAGCGCATTTGGGCAGCACGTCTGCGTCACGCGGCTACACTAGGGCCATGGCGACGGCAACTTGGGCATCAAGACACGCTTCTTGGGTAGAAGTCTTTAGGCACTGAGGGTTTTGTGGAAAAACAAGGGACCTCTGATACCAGAGCGTGTCGTTACAGCTGAATCGAGTTGCTGCCGCAAGCCGCCGACGGAGCCCTTACATTCTGCCAATGAACCTCGCAGCACATTGTCATGCCGTAGGCAGCAAGTGTTCCCGAGGGACAGAGACGAATTTGATCGATTGTCCGGGGGCACGCATGTGCGCTTCCCGATTCGCCCGGCCTGTCGCAAGTCGAAGTCGTGACGACACGAGGGGGGACAGACACACGTCGTTGTAGTTATATCGTGACGTGCCGCACACAGGCAGGTCAAGCGCGGTCGACGGTGCCGATACACGCGAGCGTAAGAGCGCGCCGAGTACACGTGGCAGCAGTCGGGTTCCGCCAACTTGACGCTTGGTCCATGCGACAAAATCCAGCGATGACATGAGTAAAGTCGCATGTAGTCGGTTGAACTTTATGTTGCGAGGACCAGATGCGTCCGTCTTGCTCGGGGCTTATGGTTTGATTTTAGTCCGCCCCGACCAGCCGATGATTCAATTGGTCCGGCGGGGCACACCCCTCCCTTCTCCGGGTAGTCTAGTTGGTTTATGGCGTCTGACTGTAATTGGCTGAATCAGTATAATCAGAATGTCGCGTGTTCGAATCACGCCCTGGAGATGACGTCGCGGGCGTCTTTTTTTGTTTCTCAGTCACACAATTCCCTTGACGTCTTTTTCTGGTTTGCAGCTTGCACCACACCACCGGTGGGGTCTTTGATCCGTGCCATGGTTCCCAGCCGAGGTGAGGCACATCTCAGGTCTTCCGGATGCAGGGCGGCATGGATCACGGTGTCGATTGCTCGGTGATGGATGTGGCCTCGCAGCAGATATCTAGCCATGGGTCCTGGCATCATCATGCTCTGCCCTGCTTGCATGTCGCTTTGCTGCCACCCGCCCGTTCAGCCGGTGAGGCAGTCGGAAACGGTCTTGTGGGCTGGAGCCTGGGTCTGGGGTGAACAAATGCCATTTGAGGACCTGCAATCCATTCATTATATCATGAGTCATACACGTAGTACTATGTGCCTGTCGCACTGCTGTAAATCCTGCCGTTGCTCGCCTTGCCGAGTCGTTCTGCCTTTCGGAATCACAAGGAACGCCAAGCAAAGTCCTTTTGTCCCCAACACATGCCGAGTCCTGACACTGCCCATGAATTCATGATGCGCCAACCCCTTCAGTTCAACCGTATCCAGCAGCCGCCATTGCACCGCTTCTACTTTGCCATTTTCCTCAGCACGTTTTCAGTTAAATGAAGAAAAAACTGACGCCATCCGTTTCCGCTGCCGTTGCCGCAGCTGGCCTCGAATTCACCATCATCAGGTCGTAGCGACAAGTGTGACAAGTCGTAGCCGCTTCATGCCGAATATATGCGCTTCCAGAGCTGCATGGTAAAAGCCGAGCAAAGTTTTCGAGAAGGCAAAAAGTATCAAGGTCAAGTGCAAGACTTTGTCACCAAATGCAACGCCAATGTGCTTCCAACCTAGGTGAGGTGCGCGGAAGCGTGACTACGGATGGTCCTGCATCCTCTCCAATTGTTGTCCAATTACACTGAGCTCGGCATCCAAAGTGTTGTAACCGGAGTAATCTGGAACAAAGCTTTCTGCTCGACGCCTCATCTCGTCCCTTTCTTCCTTCGTCATGTGCTCCTTTTGCTTTGACCGTCTGGCTTGAGAGCTCTTGTCGCCGTGATCCTTACTTTTGCGCGACCGCCCACATTGTTTTGTAGATGGCGATTTCTGGACAGGCCGAGACGATGGGGATCGCCTGGTAGGCTTGCTTTCCGAAGCGCTGCCGCCGCTGCTTCGGTCGAATGATGAAGCCGATTCCCCGGTTTGCCAGTTGGCAAGTTCACTTTGCTGGGCCGCCCATTCCTCAAGTCCAGCACTCTGCAAGAGGGAGAGAAAGGACGATTCCATCTGGCATCGGACAGGCACACCATCCATGCCAACAAAGGGCCTGTGGTCGCGAGGATCCTGGGAGGACGCCATGCCGTAGCAAGTTGATGCGTTCGGCTGCTGTGATGTCAACCAAGTGAAGAAGCGACCGTGGATGAGTGGTAGTGTATCGTCGTGGTAAAAGCTCAACACGCCTAGTCTGTACCCGTTCGCCAGTGGCTTCGTTTGAATCAAACAAGGCAATTACCGAATGGCAACCAGTCAGTTCCCAAAGTTATCGGGTGGTTGTCAAGAAACAGTGAACAAGGAGGAATACTTCGGATGTGCGAAAGAGGGGTTAGGCAGTGGATGTATAGCTCAAGGTTGGGAATTAGTTAAACTTCTTGATTCACTGAAAAAGAAATAAGATGAAGTCCTCCGTAGCGATCCGGCAACAATAAAAATGGGACAAGACTTGTATAGCCAGAGGAGCAAGTACGGATTATATAAACAGTCCATCGCCTGACGGCCCGGGTGAACCGTCCGTTACGCCGAACGGCAGCATCAAACTGGGCCGCCTCGGGAGTTCCATCAGGGGCTCGTGGGGGGGGGGGGGCGCAACGGTGGGTAGACCGGTGCGGGAATGGGCTAACGCCGTCCATGGATGGTGCGGGGGTAAGACGGGAGTTCCTCAATCATGATGCGTTGGATGGTGATTCGTCGAGTTGCAAGTCGGCGATATCAAGCGGATCGGACGTATTATCGCAGCCAAGGCGGGACCCGAGGGTCTGGTAAGTTGGCCGATCCAACGGAGCAATACCTTCTCAAGGGGGCGAGATGCCCAAAAGGTACAACGTCGTGTCGATATGGAGCCGGTGTCAGACGAACCATCAACTTGGAATGGAGAAGGTGAGGCGTCATATTTTCGATGAAGCGTTTGCAAGGTCCAGCCGCATTCATGTGACGCGGAAAGGTAACGCAGCTGGCCAGAGGAATTTTCAAGAGCGACCGGGATTGCGGACTTGGAACCGCATATGCATCGACAATAAAGCCTTCCGCACTTGTATTTCCGTTGAATCTGTGCTTGAACGGTGGATCTGCGGCGGAGATAGTCAGAGACACGACGGCAGGTCAGACCGTCGCCCCTCACGTTGCTTTCTGCCAAACACACCTTTGGCCCATCAACTGCCAATCAGGCCGGGCGAGACTCATGCTGCGGAGTCCTGCATGAGCGTCAGATTCTCAAGCGGATCATAGGTTCACGCGTTATTTGCTGATGAACCGCAACACGGCAATGAAACCTGGGGACATGCACAAGCTTCCTGCCGGCATTGTCCTTATTGTTCTCGCAGGCCGACAGCAGTGTCTCTCCTGCCGCTCGCTCTCGTGCCATGGTGGGTGGGTGGATGCGACTTGCGGTAAGACCGCGGAATGTAATACCGCAAGAGGCCGTCTCGAAGTTCTAACCTGACTTGATGGCAGCGCGTTAATCTTGATGTCCATGGCGAGACGGTGAGGTCGACCGTGACAATTCACTCAAAATACTGGCAAGTGCTGGAAAAAATCCTTCCAAATTGGGAGCCAAACCGCCCGGGCATATATGCAAAAGTCGTACCTCCCTGTGGCCCAAGCTAAGCTTGCGGCCGAAACAGACGAAGCAACGGCCGAGAGGCGTCTCGCAATCGCCGCCAGCGGACGACCAGCCATGCAAGCCGTGGTCTTTGCGGCATTGGCTTCTCCACCTTGACACAGGTCCAACCTGGCAGTCATTGCTGTACCGGGGATTTCGCGACAAGTACTCCAATCCCGAGGAAGTGCTTATTTCGCTTGGGTTGACGACGCTGGAGCCTGCCGGGTTGACCTGGAAAGCGGCGTTACCGGACGTGGTGTATAATGATGACACATTATACGCCGTTGACAAAGAGACGGTCGACTTGCTTGCCTCGACGGGCCGTCCGTCGCCATTTTATCGCAAGCGGATTCGTGGTTTCTCGACAGGTTGCGGTGTGGCTTGACGTGTTTCAATGTTTGTGATGACTGGCCCACCATCGGCAGTTCGTGTCCAAGTGTGATTGAGCAGAGCACAAAGGTCTATAATAGACAAGACAGAAGAGGACGCATGCAATATGGAAAACGAATCGTGGAACGCCAGAGCCGATGGAACGTAGGGGCGAGTATGTTGCGAGGCTGCATCAAAAGGCTTCAATGCTTGGCCCATGACTGGCTGCGAGACCATCAGTCGACGGCAGGAGCTCAGATGCTGCGGTCCATCGGCCGACCGCTCCTTCCTAATCTGCCCGCCTTCTGGGGCATCGCCTCCATCAATAACATCATGGCCAACTCGGTGTGATTACGTACCCTCCTTGAACGACTTTGAGCGTCATCTTGGGTGTAGTCATCGGGCCACGCGGCTATTTCCGCGACTTCGTTCCGCTAGGACACATCATACATGCACGCAGCCTTCACTCCATCAACGGACATGGCCTCATAGTTGCAGATTGAGGGTGCTCTAGCAGTCATTCACGTCACGTGTCGGCCCGACGAGTGCCTGAACTTGCGGTTCTGCTGCGTGCTCTGGTATTAACATTACTTGACCCTCAATTGGAAACCGGATCGTGTCTGTGTGACTACATTACACTGGGCAGAATGAAACGCATCAATAGGGATGAGAGGCAGGCTACCTTGGGTGAAGTACGGTTCGAGACTCGAGAGCGGGAGGACTGAATATCCGTTTGCAATAAGACGCCGCAAGAGAGTTGAGTTGTGTTGAAAACGCTCATCCCCAAGCTAGGGGCGGCTTGCAGCATATTTCCGTGCCACAGTAGTCTTTCCTAGACGATCAGTGACATTCACTGCATATGGGCTCATGCATGCCGGCGGCGACCATGGATGTGCAGGAACCTCGAAGCGCGGCTCGGGCTAAACAAGAGGCGGGCGGTCGCCTTCTTCTTCATATGTTAGCAGCTACATACAATAAGTGGCGCCGCGAAGAGGATGAGACAGGTCAGTTGTGCCCGTTCATCGGCAGTGACGGCGGGAACGGCAAGCCGCGAGTTCTCAAGGCTCCTGTCAAGCTGTTCAAATCAAAGGAGCAACCAAATCGTGTATTGAGTATTGATAGCGGCGGCGTAAATCAACGACACCACGACCTTGACTCTCAAGATGCTACTCAGAGGGGGCGAACCTCGCAGTAGACGGATATGACCGTTGTAACGCAGCTTGATGCTAAACCGGGTGATGGAAGCACATAGCGCGACGGCTCTCGGCTGGCTTGACGATGCACGTCGGGCCGCCAGGCACGATCCTGTTGACGCTGACGAGAGATAACAGTCAAGATACAATGTCAGCGATAGCGGCTGCGGGGGGGGAGATTTGACTCGCAATACGGATCAAAGTGCCCCAAGGGACAACCTTCGCAAGATGCTGGCGAGCGGCTGAAAGCAGCATGCAGCGGCCAAATCCCCCCAAAATGAATCCCATGTCGGGATTTTTGTTGCCCAATAAACTGGAAACACGCAACGACATTGAAGCCTACGATGATACTCGGCACGATGGCTCGGATACAAGGATGATGGGCCAGTAAATCGTCCCCCGCGAGTCTGAAAACAGGACAAAATTTGATTTTACTACACAAAAGGAGCAGACTTTCACGAAATTCAAAACCTTCCCCGAGGCTACTGACTTGCACATGGCAGCCTTGCCCAGCAGGGAAAAAATTGCACTCCTTGTGAATAGCAACTTGGCCTTGAAAGAAGCGACAGCTGTCCAGATTAGGCTATGGTATTTATTTATCGAGATATTTACCAGAAGACTTCCTACGGCACTATCAGGCACGGTGGCTTCAACCGTTCCGGAGCTGCGACAAAGTCGATGTCACCAGGTCCGGTACTCCGTAGAGAGTCGAGACAGACCTATAATCAACAGCCTGTCCTGCTTAGCCGCTGTCACTTGGGTCTATTTCCCCTTTGGATATGGCTCTTTGTGCGTACGTCTGGCCAGTTGTTAGATTGAACTCGCCTCACAGCAGCGTAGGATGAGGGCTTGGGCCATCATGCAGCTCAGTTCAAAATGTTACAGACTTTAGTGTTCATGGTGCGGCATTTTTCCACAAGACTCTTGCAGTCACAGGCTTCTATTTCTGCTGCAGCCTTCTGCCCATTAAATGTGAATCGAGTTCTTCTGCTCCGAGTCCTGATTGTCGCCACTAAGACCACAGCGCTTGCAGACATCAACACGGAGTGCTCTCTTCTTCTCTTGGCTGCTTATCTCTAGCATTGAAGATAAAGTACAGTACAACGGCAGAAGATGAAATCGGTTGCGAAGCTGTCAATGCATTGTGGTGTCTTACTCGGGCGGGATAGTGCTGTCTGTCTGGACTCTGGAAGCGGTTCTAGGTTTTGGAGTTGCTAACCTGTTCAAGATTCGAGAAGAAAAGTTGAGGATGCCCTGATGACTAAGCAAATCGCCAAGCGAACCCTCAGGGCCCGGGGCCCATCTGGATCCCACAATCCCAGGAACAGGCTACAGGTTACAGGTTGACTGACATCTGCGGCCTGCTTGAGTGGCTGTAGATCCCGAGGCCCTACGTGCGTGCTCCCACCAGCGACGCGTTGATGCCACGTCTTCCGTCCGTCCATCCATCATTTGTTCCGTCGCGGCTCCAGCTACAACGTCGTCAACAGTAGCAATCTCTTTGAACAGTCACTCCGTTGCATTCATCCTCCGCAGCCCACGACGACAATACCCGGCTGTGTCGGACTCGATCGGTCGAAGATGAGCGATCCTGCTGCCGTCCCTTTCATCCTTTGAGTTGCAACTACAGGACGAAAGGCGCAGACGTCTGCCCACCATGGGCGTCTTCTCCTTCTTGCGCAAGGTGTACGACATCGACACCCTCGATACTCGATTCATGACTTCGTCCCGCGTCCCCTACCAGACAGTGATTGAGGCCCGTAGCGATCCTCATGCCGTCAAGGATGCTGCCGATAAGGCGCGAGCCCTGGCGCCTCCCGCAAAATGGCAAACGCCAGAGTTTTATCTGTATTATATTGTGTTTTTGTGGGCTGTGCCCTACATGTTCTGGGTTGCGTATAGTGTCTCACGACGTACGTGGTTCGGTTTTCGGCTCTTTTCCCTCTATTCAACGAACATGGGTCGCTGACTTTGTGCGGGGATAGCCTCCGATCCTCGATATCACAAGTACGCACGGTTTCTCTCCGACGGCTGGATTCCCGGCCGTAAAGTCGATGTTTCCGACGCACAGTATCACACGTTTCGAGGCAACTTGCCCTACTTGGCTGCCCTGCTAATTTTCCATCCACTGCTCCGAAAGTTCTGGGAATCAGTATGCAGCGGCAGCAACCGCAACAGGAGCCCTCAAGGCTCTGTACGGCTCGAGCAGCGGGCTGTGTTCGACTTTATGTTTGCACTTTTATTCTTGGTCGTTCTGCACGGCATTTCTGCATTCAAGGTCCTCGCTATTCTGTACATGAACTTTCAGATGGGGCGGAAATTTCCACCCAAGTACGTGCCTATTGGCACTTGGATATTTAACATTTCAATTCTGTTTGCGAACGAGCTTTGTGATGGCTATCAGCTGCGAAGCGTAGCAAGTCACTTCTCGCCACCGGTCAAAGTTGGTTCGACTGGGCAAGCGACTGATTCTCACCTGATGCAGACGGGGGCGTGGCTGGATGGGTTTGGAGGCATCATGCCGCGGTGGGAGGTCTTGTTCAACATCACAATTCTCCGGCTGATCAGCTACAACATGGATTATTATTGGAGTATTGCTAACAATGCTTCCAGCTCGTTGGAGGTAAGTCCATATGGAGCTGTCTGTTCATTTCCACCCCGCAAGTCCGCTGATAAACACAAGAAGAAACAAGTGGACATGGCCAACCTGTCTGAGCGGGATCGCATCAATCTATCGGCTGATGCGGCCGACTATTCGTTCCGTAATTACGTCGCATACGCCATATACGCGCCGCTGTATCTGGCAGGGCCTATTCTCACCTTCAACGATTACGTCTCCCAGCTCAAGTTCAAAGCAGCCAGTATCGAGAAATCACGTACAATTCGGTACGGCGTTCGATTCTTGCTGGTTCTGCTGGTCATGGAGCTCATCCTGCACTTTGACTACGTCGGTGCCATAAGCCTGGCGAAGCCCGTTTGGGGAGATTATTCCGCCGCCCAACTTAGCTTGCTCTCCTTCTTCAACCTCCATATCATCTGGTTGAAGCTGCTCCTACCATGGCGACTATTCCGTCTGTGGGCGCTGATGGACGGTATCGACCCGCCTGAAAACATGGTTCGCTGCGTGAGCAACAACTACAGCACGCAACTCTTCTGGCGCGCGTGGCACCGATCATACAACCGATGGCTCATCCGATATCTGTACGTGCCTCTTGGCGGTGCGTCCTTCCGCAACTGGGCCGCAGCAGTTCAGTCAACAGTCACGTATCTGTGTGTGTTCACCTTTGTCGCGCTGTGGCATGACATCCAGCTCCGTCTCCTCATCTGGGGCTGGCTGATTGTACTGTTCATGGTGCCGGAATGGACGGCGGCGTTCTTGTTTCCAAAAAGGAAATGGGAGAGCCGTCCTACCGAGTATCGCATGCTGTGCTGTGTGGGTGCTGTTGCGAATGTGCTCATGATGATGGCGGCCAACCTGGTTGGTTTCGCGGTAGGCTTGGATGGGCTGCAGAGCATCGTTGCAGGTATATTGCATGAATGGTCGGGTAAGTTGCCATTTTACCCCCTCCCAACACTGATTCGCGAACTGCCTAAGTACTGATGACGATGACCTGGTAGGCGTCTTGTTTCTGGTGGTGGCCTGTGCCTGCCTATTCGTGGGTGTCCAGGTCATGTTTGAGATTCGCGCATCGGAGACGCGCAAGGGTGTGACACTGAAGTGCTGAGTGAGACGCGGCGAGCCACACGACTGCGCTGTAAAGTAATTCAAGCATTAAGATGATGAATGATGCTGTCAACTAGCAACGAGACGCATTCCTCCAAGAAGCTCTGTGCGGCACGCACACTCGTCGACACGTTTACGCCAGCTGCCTCTGTAGCAACTGGTCAGTCCAACATGGCCAGATGACTTGCAAAAAGGCCCGCAATTGAATCTCTGTTATTAATTATTAACGCAGCATGTGCCCTTGCCCGTCAGGTTTGGCTTGATGGCGCATTTCCACATCCGCCCTTCTCTCGACGACAAACTTGCCGGTCCTGCCCAACTTAACCTCGGTGACCCATTTGCGCAGCCGAATGGCAGCCCAAACAATTGCAAAGACCACGACCACGCCAACGGCAATGCCCACCACATAAGCAGCGACGTACCCTCTCCCGCCAACCGCGCTGTGGTCCAAGAAGCTATACGTGTACCAGCCCTGCGCGGCCAGCGTGATGAAGGCGATGGCCAAGTAGCCCAGCAAGACGGCAATCAACCAGGCCAAGTGCGCCCACGGCGGGGCCTCTGTCCTCGCAAAGACAAGCTCGAACAAGGCAAACAGCGAGTTGAGGCCGTGCTGCGTCACGTTGTGCCAGGCGTCGAAGACGAGCTCGAACCAGGGGGCCTTGTACAGCACGGCCCAGTAGACAATGGTGACGAGAAAGGGCAGCGTGACGACGGACGTGTAGAAGAGCGAGTGGAGGGCCTGCAGGGGCCGCGGGAAGGAGGCGAGCAGCGGCCGCCGCCGCAGCACGTACGTGAGCGTATGGACAGACGACACGGCAAAATAGAAGCCCAGGCCCCAGAAGGTGATGACGGTGAAGTAGGAGAATGACCGGCGCACGGCGAGGCAGCCGCCCAGAGAGGCGTCGGAGCACGTGTAGCCCATGATGAAGAAGAGCGTCGTGAAGATGTAAATGCTCTGGCGGGGGGGGTCAGTCTTGCGGGAACGCGCCAAGAAGAGCAACCCAACGTACAATCAGAGCCCGGCAGGCGAGGAGCATCCAGGGCGGGAGGAGCCATGACGTTTCGAAGCGGTTCGTGGGATCGAAGGGCTCGGTGCCGAAGGAGAATCCGGTGCACATGGCCATGGTTTTACGACTTGGTGAATGCGTCTGGCTCTAGAACGGCTTGTCGCGCAGTCCAATTCGACTTGGCGACGGGTGGTGTGCGACGCGACAGGGGGTCGGTTGGGGTTTTATGTAGTCTCTTGTGCCTTTTTTTCTTTTTCTTCTTCGAGAATCCGAGAAGCAGAGCCCGCTGTCAGGAGGTAATTTTGCATAGAAGGCCGGGGTCGTGACGCGGACCACCACTCGACATGGTGGTGGCTTGGCGTGGGCTTTGGCGCGAGGCTGAGCCGGCGAATTGTTGTTGGGGTTCGCAGCTTGCGTGGGCTGTCTACATCGTATTCGGGGCAATGCGCAGGTAGCGTCGTGTTGTTCGTACTGATGCCAATTGCTTGGGATGATTGCGACGGGAACACCACGAGGTGCACTGACTGAGATGTCGCCGGATGGAAGCGGCATTCGCATACTCGAGTATCCTCCCTTGCCTTGCCAGGGGTGAAGCGCTACTGTACAGGGTCGGTGTGAATCCACACGGTGGGGTGTGGCAGCAGGAGGTGTGACTGTGCTCCGCAACCCCCACCTTGCTACAATATTATATAATATTATGTCAAGGACTAGCCTTACAGGCGACTGCATGTAAGCATCACTAGTATTAACTCTAAACTTGTGTTATAGTCTAAGCTATGCTTGACCTAAAGATGACGACGCGATAGGACATAGCTTGTGACCTATATAGTGCTAGATAAGCAAGCTTGGGGCAGCTTGTTTATTACGTACTCTTTTAGCTCAATAGCTAAGTGTCCGGCAAACTACTGGAAAACTGCGGCTAGCACCTGCTATAGCCCAATAGGGCTAGTCTATCACAACAACTATAAAACATTTTGGGATAAATAGCTCTAAATCCTCTAGGAAAAAGAGGCGGCTTGAAATACTTTCTTTTAGCACTATATTAAAGTAATATAAATATTAATAACTAGCCTTACAGGCAACTATATGTAAGCATTACTAGTATTAACTATAAACTTGGAGAGAAAAGAGAGAAAAAGGAGAAGTTCTCTATCTCTTTTTTTATGCTATTATATATATATATGTATATATATATATAAGTTCTTATATATATCTAAAAAGTATTTAATAAAGCACTAATATAGTGCCTTATATATACTTTAGCTATAGCTTAAGTCTATTATATACCCTTATTCCTGTAGGCTTATATATATATATATATTGTGAAGGACTAGCCCTATTAGGCTATAGCGGGTGCCAGCAGCAGTCATCCCGGTGGTTTGCCGGACCCCCTTAGAGCCAAAAGAGTACGTAACGAACAAGCTGCCACAAGCTGCTCAATCTAGCACTATACAGGTAGGTCAACAAAGGGATAGGCCATGTCCCACTAGAAGGTCGAGCACAGCTCAGACCATAACAACTAAGGACCTTTCAGACTATATAATATTATATGTAAATACAAGTTATTTGCTCCGAGCCCTAATCACACAGACCAGCCCTTGTTACATCCGTCGACTTCCAGAGCTGGTACAAACACTCCTACAAAGCCATGACGGGACCTAGAGCAGACTATTGCTTGCAACTGTGGCGCTTTCGGACCTGCAACGGCCGGCGCCGAGACATGCGGAGGAATTACCGTCGAGCTCGAGGAGAGTGGGCATAAAGGCTATCTTTTAGTGGCTACCTCCAATTCGACTACACAATCCAAGTAGGGAAGCGTTGGGCGACTGAGCGGTGCTGATGGAATGCACGGAGTCAAGTTCGACAAGGAACACAATCAGGGTCTGTGTTTGTGCTGGCTGGAGGCGTAAGGCGTACACTGCCAACAACGTGCCATGTAGACTACTTTGGTCCTAGACTTTGGCAGCCAGACAAGTCACCTTAATTCTCCGTCGATAGCGAAGCCTTCGGGTCCTATGCTGAGATGTTGCCATGCACCACCAAACGGGCGGACCGTGAAGCCCAAGGGCGTTGTGCTGTCTGGAGGCAGGTTCTCGATGGAGGCAGGTTGCAGGACTGTCACGAGAAGTACGCTCTAGACTTGACGTTGCCTGTCTGAACTTTCTGACAAATAATAGGACCGTCATCTGTCTACGATCAAGACGCACCCCGTAAACCCTCCGCTTCCCATCTGCCATTATACGTTGGCTAATTTACGAACACGTTGATCCCGCCATTTTCGAGCTTGGTATTCCGATTTTGGGTATCTGGTATGATGGCTATTGTTACAAATCATACCACTGTGCTAATCTCCTGCAATTAGTTATAGTTGCCAGGTAACATTCCAGCGTGGCCTCCCCACATCATGCAACCCTTCGAAAGTCCGGCCTGGCTATGTCGTTTATAGTGTGCTTGCAACGACCAGGAACACATGGCGACAACAACGGACAGACACGTCGGCAAACTCGACGCACGGCCTCTCTTGCAGCCCGTCAAGGCCAGCCGCCATTCACCTCGACCACCTGCCCCGTGATGGCCGACGAGCCCTCGCCCAACAGGAAGACGATTGTGTCGGCAACCTCGTCGGGCTCGAGGACGTGCCTCAGAACCCCCTTGTAGGGCGAGCCGGCGTCAATGACCATTCCACGTATCATGGGGGTGTTGACGGCGCCGGGCGCGACGCAGTTGACCCTCAGGCCGACCGAGGCCCAGGACTGGGCAAAGGAGCGAGAGAGCCCGAGGACGGCGTGCTTGGTGGCCACGTACCCCGGCACGTCGGGGATGCCCCTGAGCGACGCCATGGAGGCCATGTTGACGATGCTGGCGAGGGCGTCGACGCTCGGCCGGGCGCCGGAGCCGGAGCCGGAGCCGGAGCCGGAGCCCCGCGCGGCCCTGACGAGCCGGTACAGCTCCGTGTTGACGTTCCACGTCCCGACGACGTTGACGTCCCAGAGCCGGCGGAGCTGGTCGTCGCCGGCCTCGGAGGCCTCGGTGGGACGCAGAATGGCGGCGCAGTGCACCAGCCCGCCGAGCGGCGCGTCGCTCTGCGCGGCGATGCGGTCCAGCACGTTCCTCACCTGCGCGCGCGACGCGACGTCGACGTTTGCGTGGTTGCGCTGCCGGCCCGCGAGGCCCTCGTGCGTCGCCACGTCGCTCGCCGCGTCGACTACGTGCACCTCGGCCGCGAGCCCGAGCAGCTTCCTGACCGCGCTCCTCCCGATCCCCGACGCCCCCCCCGTGACGATGAACGCTTTGCCGGCAAGACTCATTGCGAGGAGAAAACAATAACCAAACGACGGCGCGTGCGTCGGGCGTGCCGCAGATCCCGCCAGGAAAAAAGAGGTGTCACGTTGCAAGTCGCGGCTGAGGTGAGGCGGGAGAAGGAGGAGGGGGGCCGCGGCCACGATCAGCTCAGGCTTTTTCAGCTTGACATTCCGCCCCTGACCCTCCCCCGGTTGCCGGTTGTCAGCCGCTTCTCAGCGTCTTCTGTGCTGGATTGAGCTGCACGATGCTCCGGGCCCTCAGACGAGCCCTTGTCACGCCAAATACCCGACACGGAAGGGCTAATGGAATGGAACACTTTGCAAAGCCATCTACCAAGTTACTCGGCAGCGACGCGCTGCACTGTCCACCACTATTGTTATGCCGAGGGAATAGACGTCCGTGGAATGAGTTTCAAAAAATAATTAAACATCAAGGATAGAAATTACAATAAAAACCGCCATGCCGACATGCATCAGATGAAAATCAGCACTTGTTTGCCCCTTGGGCGTGCCGCACCTGCTGATCCCTGGCTAGCTTATAATAGACCCGCGCGCCCCAGAGCTGGGCCGCCGAGAACAAGACGTGCAGAATGGGCGTGACGGCCTTGAGCGACAAGCTCCATTTGTCCCAGAGGCTTCCAAACAGCCACATGACAACGACCGTCTCAACAGTGGTCCCAACGAGCTCCAGCCCCGCGGTGGCATAGAACAGGCGGCAGAGCAGCGCATGCTTCGAGTTGTGAGTTCGGTAGATGATCATGGCGAAATGAGGCCAAAGCTCGGCCAGGACGTCAAAGAGACCTGTCGCCGCAAAGGTTAGTGGCGCGCGCCCAGAGGTGGGGAGGGGTCTCGCCAGGAGAGAGGAGGAAGAACTCGCCCCAGATGAAGCAGAGAATGAACTCGTACACGGCGTCGCTTTCGTGGTCGAAATTGATGCTCATGGCGACGGCCGACTGCGCAACGACGATTGCGCCGACGTGGTGGGCAAAGGCGATGGGCGAGATGGTGTCGCGGTAGAAGAGCTCGAAGACGTACATGACGGTGAAGATTTGCGACGAGACAATCAGCACATCCCCCAAGGTCGCCGACGAGCCCGGAGCGAGGGGCGTGTGCGGCGCGCCGTGGCCGACGAGGATGGCAAACAGCGGGTAGGCCGTCACGAGGATGAGCAATATCTTGGACCCGGCTGCTACGTGATGGTTGACGAAGCTCCGGCGCTGGGCGGCGCTGAGGTCCTTGACGACTGCGGGCGAGTAGACGCGGGGGATGACGACGGCGTCGAGGAGGTAGATGCGGACGGCGGCGACGACGCAGGCCGCAATGGTGAGGATGAGGCCGGAAAAGGGCGCGATTTGCGAAACGAGCTGGTTGACGAGCTTCTCGACGTGCGGGTGATGAGTGCCGACATTTTGGTGCATTTTCAGGAGCCCCCTTTGCTCTTGTTTCTTTCTCTCCTTCTTTGTTGCGTCAAGGCACGAAGAAGGCAGTCGATGTCGAGGTCGTGAGAAGCAAGAGAGTCGTCGCCGACATTGGCGGGGAGCCCCCGTGCGTCGTGTGGTTGGTTCGTGTACGTGGCTTGCAATGTCGACGCGTCAAGGGGACGGGTATGGTATCCACGGGAAAAAGAGATTGTGGGAGTCACCGAGACGGGGCAATTGCGCAAGTGCGGCACTGCCATTTTGCTGCTGCTCGTTGCTGCTGCTTGTTGGGTCCTGACTTGTACGCCGGGCTGCGCGACGGTGTTCGGATCTGAGATGCCGAAGCCTCGGTTTTTCGTGCCTGTGGCGTTTTGCTCGAGGCAGGGGCTTGTCGAACTATCTGTGCTGTTGCTGCTGGATGGCGATGAAGGATCTTGGGTAGTTGGGGAGCAGACTTGACGTCAAAGAGGAGAAAGAAAGAGAAGGAGAGAAAAGAGGAAGGAGAAGGCAAGATATGCACGCGTCGTCGCTCTGCCAAGGTTCGCTTCCTTCCCTTTGCAGGCGAGTGCCGAGACATTGTAACGTTAGTAAGTACCTAGGTACGTACTAGTAGTACATGAATGAGGTGCCATGTTGGTGGGGCGCCAACCGTGTGGCGTGACTAGTTGGTGTGGCTGGTGGCACGCACGTTTTTTGGTGAGACATCAGCTGCGTTTAATTTCGTAGGGACCCTTTGCCGAGACTAGGACAGCGAGGCATTGAGACTTGTCACGATGCCATGCAATATGCTATATCGCAAGGTCCCGACTCTTTTGACCGCAAGTTTGTACAGCACATCTGAGCAGATGGCTGGTGCACGTCGTCAAACGGACGGCCGCGCCGTTGCAGCCTACACGGTCCTAAACCCTTACGTCGTCTCGTCCCCGTAACCCTAACCAGGGTCGGAGCCGGCAAGAAAAGCGGAGCCACGCCGCTGGACCAAGTGCGGCCGATTCCGATTCCGGAATCCGGAGTGTCGTCGCCGCCCGCCGGTGTTGGATTCGCCCGAGGGCTCGAAAAACGCCATCGCTGCGCAGAGGCGCACCGTGGTGTTTTTCTTGCTTTGCATCAAAGTCGCTTCTTCACCCCTGCAGGTTGCAAAGTTATACTTTTTCTTGGCTTCCGAGGCGCGCGCCACCACGACGGGAGCCAGCTGTATACACGTTGAGCCTCTTTTTTTGTTTTATTCCCTCTTTTCTTGGCAAAGTGGCCTAGCACAAGATGGCACGGGTGCTGTGGAGATGCAAGTCCATCTGCCAACCATTCATGAGATGCCGCAAATTCAAAGATACGGTGCTATTTGATCCAATTTCCGACGTGGCCACGCAAGCAACTTCAAGCCCAAGCAACCCTTTTGAACCGCGCCGTCGTCGCACAGAGCGTCGTGCACATCCGCGTCGTCTCGCCGGAGCATCCGTGAGCGGGTGCGTGATGCGCGTGTTGAAATGGAACAAGGTACAGCTTCAATAGTCGGAAATTCCTTCACCTACAACGCTCAGTTAGGCGATAGTCTTGTTGTAAATGCGAAATGCACTCTTAGCCCTTACAGTCCTCTGCAATATTATCTACTTGTAACTACTAGCAGTCAGTAGGATAGGGATCTGCCAAGGTACAGCATTGCTATTGCCATTACTGTTACCCGCTACTGCTACCACTGCCATGTGCATAATATTCATTAAAGAGGCTTAGACTCTAGCTGTATATGACCTCTTCTTACTTCGCACAAGGGGCAGGCGGGAATGTAGGGATAATTCCGCCTTATAAGTCTAACAGCAAGAGATACCTAGCTAGGCGCGTGCTGATAGGCGTCAACAGAGCTTGCTCCTTGCCACTACACAACTTCTTCGTTACGCAGGAGATACAGGCGCCATTAGAGGTGGACACCAACGTCATGGACGTTGGCCACGTGGACAAGATCATAGGGTTTCACGTCATCAACAGCCGTATGGTCCTCGTAGCCACAGACGCCACTAAGAGTCAGGAGATTCTCCTTAAGGCCCAGCAGCACAGCTTTAGCAGCAAGCGCGTCGCCGAGACGGGCCGCGAAACAATCGACGAGTTCCTCGCCGACAAGAATGCGACGGAGGCTAGCGAAGCTGTCAGCCGGCGGTGGAGGCGGTCATCAAGCGCCTGCAGGACGAGACGGTCGCGCGGTCCGCTTCGCAAAGCCCGGCGCCGGCGCCGCCGCGGCGACCCGGGCGGAGTCGCGGCTCCGAGCCGCTGTCCCATCTCTACATCCGCGTCAAGACGGTTCATGCGAACTCGGTCAACGGCCTCTCCCTCTCGCCGCCAAACTACATGGCGAGCAACATCTTGGGGCCCGTGATCCGCGGGTTGGACGTGTTGCAGCTCAATGTCGATCACATCCTGCGCAACGCTGGCTTTTCTAGAGTCGACTACGTCGATGCAGACGGCTTCCACGAGTATGACGGAGACCTGCACTGCTTAGCCAACACGTGGCACGACGCCTCAGAGCCGTGGTGGCGATCGCGTTGAAGATCCGCGTCGTCCGAGGTTGCCATGTATCATGCATCCAGAATCCAGAATCCAGATTGATTATCCATGACGGAGCACCCAGCTTGCGCAACCGAGTAGAGCAGTGACACAAAAGACGTATCGTACCTCGGCGGGTTCTTTTCACCCGACCGGAGGCTGACCTCGGGGGCGAATCGCGAGCCGTTGTCGCTGGTGCCTGCATCGCCCAGACGTCATTGTTTGCTCATGGCGCGCTCCCCGACTGAAGCACGGTGGCGTCGGCATTGCGACCGTACCAGGTCGACGTGCGCATGCATCCTCATCATCCTCGTCCTCGCCCTCGCCCTCGTCCTCGCCCTCATCCTCGTCCTGCATCTGCCATGCCCGTCCCCGCCCGTGGAGGACCACAACAAAACTCAGAAAATCCCCCC